CTATGAACCTCGGTCACAAATTAAACTATCAGTTGGGTGATTTAGCGTTAAAACTAGAAATATTATGACGCTCTCCATTAGGTATTTCTCAAGAACTTGCCCCGCTAGACAGGTCATTTCCAGTGTTTATCTCGTAAAGATTTCTGCTTCGTTTTCGCAGGTCCTGTTTAGAATATTAGAAAACATTTTCCTTAACGTGATTCACAGCGCCGATAGTGTTTCACTTAGTTCATTTTGCTTAAATTCGTTGGACTTTGTTAAATATAAATCGATCGCTATCATTGTTTATGGTTTTCGTCTAACGCTCTTGACATTTTGATTTAAAGATGGAAAAATAAATGCAAATATTTTAAAAGACATATCTTTAATATAATAATAAGCAGTATTTATTCTAATTTTAAATGCAATATACATAAAAAAAAACTTCTAGTTTATAATGGGACATCAGAATCTTAACATTTATATGTTAAGATTCTGATGTCCCAGTAATATTGTATTGTGGCATGTGGCAACGTATTGTTCATAATATAATAATACTTTGTCTTGATTTCGTTTGATCCTAATTTTTTCTTCGCTTAGAGCACAATAAGAGACGTCCTGTTGCACTTATGATTTGTCCGATAAAAACGGATGTTTTCAATGTTGTTTTCCTTTTTAGATCCATTCGGTATGCAGTTGCGGACGCCACGCGTACGTCTCATTAGCATACGTAATCTGTCACAGATTATGACTGCGGGTGGTAATGTGCACTTGTGCAACCTCTTTGCGGGCCTATCGTGTTACAATGTAGCCATTTGTAGCGGCAGTTGGCGTAGGTCAGTTTCCCCACAGCGCAACACCCCGAGATTAGATTACCAATGATAGATTAGATATTAATAGCGATGATATGTAATATTGGTGCGCCACACTAAAAAGCGCATTCTCGTTTAAGTAAAAATGTTAAAACGGAAAACTCATGCACTGCCTCCATGACTAGCTAATCAAATTATAATAGAGTCTATACGAGTTTGTGCAATTACTATTTTTATGTTTCACGCCACAGCGCGTTATGGACAAATCACATGAGTGATTGATAATTATTTTTATTTAACCTTAGCAAAGACTGTAATTCTCATTATACTTTTTTAGTTTCGCCCAATGTATTCCGTGCACACTCCTTACAAGCGGTGATTGTTGTTTGGACAGGTGGATTCTCGGAATTGCCAGACTTTTGAATCTATTCATAAAATTTTGGTCGGAAATTAGTCATACTTCCAGAATCATATTCAACGTCAGAGGTCAATAACCGCGCCGCAGCGCAGTACGCGTTGTTTTTATATACATTTATTATATGTTATATGTTCGTTTTGTTTGAATGTGTATACAATCAATCGAGTGATTCGACAAATAGTGGTGCAATCTTTTTCAATTCAGGTTTACTCTTTTGTATCTGATTACATATTGCCATTAGTGTCGGTAAATAAGATTCGAATACAGGTTGCTTATTATAGCAATTTTTAAGCGACCACCTACCCAGTCTACATGTATTTAGAGTATATTTAAGGTAAATAACAATATATAGACCTATACGGTGGAGTAGTCATCCTTTTTATAATAATGCAACTCAATTTTAATTTAATGAAAAATCTCCTAAAACTTCATGTGTATCTCAATTGTATCTTTAGAATTGATTGACGTCATTTCGTCTATGTGATTCTAATGGTTTCTTTTATTGTGTTTATTTTTATGCTCATGTATCTATCGCCCACAGTATTCTATCGTGTGTTATAATATTTTATTACCGTAGTATAGAAACCGCGAAATATTACTGATGCAGTTTAATAACGTATGTGATTTAAGTTTGCCATAGCAGCTCTTAACGACCGTTGCGACATTTATATCACTTATAAACTATACTGGTGATATAAATTATTCTAGACCTTTATATTAATATTGTGGCCCACGTTCGGCTTTTAAATCTCAGTCTTATACTCAACTGGCGACCCGCCCCGGCTTCGCACGGCTGCAATGTATTATACATAAAAACCTTCCTCTTGAATCACTATCTAGTAAAAAAAACACATCAAGATCCGTTGCGTAGTTTTAAATATTTAAGCATACATACGAACAGACAGCCAGCGGGATTTTATACTATGTATTGATTATTCTCAGGACCCCGGAGGAATTATTTTTTTTTCATCTCTGCAATTTTTACGACCGTTGGCCTCGTCTCCTTTGTCGACATGAATAAGAACTCTTTCTGATGGATGCACTTCACAAAGAGTTCTCGCTTCATGTCATAAGCGCATCATAATAATGATTAGCGGTCAGTTCTTTTTTGTTTATTTTTTTATGTATTTCCTCTTTGCTCAATTGGTGTAACGACGTGCTTATTTTTTTTGCATATATTTCCCGTTTGATAGGTAGCGCGGATTAAGCCCTTTCGGTTTCCCATTTTGGCGTCAAGTAAATGCGTTATATATTAGCGATTGTGTCACGGTCGACCTTATTTGCAGAAGCGGACGCAGCAAGGTTATCTGTGCTAGCCCTGTTGCCTTTCATATCGGTTATGTTCGCGTCTAGTGCGTTGTACGGCTACCATTTCGCGTCGAATGGTCAAAATTAATCACTGTCGCTCGAACGTGCCTCGTGGATTGAATTTCCACTTTACGGTCGCTTCTATTTTATTTTCTTTCTGCAATATTTATACGATCTCTTTTTTATTCTATTAGATTTATATCACAAGCACAGGTTGTAAATTGCCTTATAAATATTCGCGATGTGATGGTGGGCGTTTCGCTGGATCGTTAATTAAGTTTTACTCATTTTTAGTCACAGTTGGAATGTTGAGTTATATACTTAACGTTTTTGGATAATGTTGTGAATGATTCAAATTTGGATTTTTGCTATTAATTAAAAACCCCTAAAGAAAAATGCTATAAATAATACACACATGACTGAGCATTATAACGGGTTCGGCTCCGTTGCAGTGCAGTCATTAATTTTTCCCAATTCTCGGTTGACTTATCGAATAATGAAATCGTTCATAATTTAAAATACGCATTCTATATATTAATTAGGTACTTTTAAAATCATAATCCATTTCATTTTGACTGTATATACTACTAGCTGACCCGGCAAACGTTGTTTTGCCATATAAATTATTTTTAGGCTAGAAAAAATGTTTGGGGTGGACCAACCTTAACATTTAGGGGGATGAAAAATAGATAAATTCTAAATTAATAATATTCTAAATTAATGTTCTTACTTCTACTTCTACAACTAATTCTTCTTAATCTGATTCTCCACCCTGGCCGATATGCACACAAATTTTCACGAAAATCGATAGAGCCGTTTCGGAGGAGTTCAATTACAAACACCATGACACGAGAATTTTATATATTAGATAACAGCCTACAGCCACGTGCTCTTATATCGTGTCCGATGGACTTCTACATGGACCTTAAAAACTTATAGCGATATGTATCGAACATAGGCAGTTTTATGTTTGCGTTAACAATTAAATAGATGTCCCATTTATTGTCATTATACGAGAACTTTACAAACCATACTTGCTCTTTAATTTGAATAATAGCAATAAAAGTACCTGTAGCTTTACTGTAGGCACGCTCGTAAAAGTAATTTAAATGCTTTTACGAGTCGCACAAGTTTTATGGTCATTGCGCCGCTGGACACATAAACGACATATACTATATGAATGGAGGGAAGACGGAAATCAATGGTAGCAACAACACCGCCACCACATTAAAGTGTAAAAGAACGAGTCTCGAAGCCGGTGCATGTCTTGATGACACAATCCGTCATTTTTCGACAATCCACAAGTCGATACGGGGATGTAGTAGCACTTAGCGCAAGTCATGATGCATCGGAACCGGTAAGGACGGTTATGCCGACGGCTGGGCTGACAGTAGTGGCGCGTGGCGAGGAAATTTCGATCTTGTAGACCGGTGTTAAGGTTCAAGTTGGTTAGTTGCGTCGCTGTCGGTGCCGGTGTGCGTGGCAAGTACGAATAAAAACTCGGTGCGCGCCTCCAGCCCCGAGAAACGATCCCGACGAGACGTTTATTTATTACGAAGGCGTATGATGATAATGGCTGCATACGACTTTAATATTCCCCGTAGCGTTGCACTCCGTTTTTTTTGGCAAGCGTCGCGATGATTTCGAGGAAGGATCCGGTGCCTAAGTGCTCGATTGTTTTTCGGTCAGTCAACCCCGGGGCCTTGTCGCCTCTGCCGTTGCTTGGTTTCGTTCCGTAAAACTGGGACGGCGCTCTGTTGGCGCTGTGTCAACGACCCACCCGCTGTCCGGTTTCATAATCTCCGGAGCACAGTACGCCTCCGAACCCGAGTTGTAATCTACGGGACCGCGATGGGGCGCAGTCCGCACCGAACGAAAGTTAACTATTGGAACGTTAATGGACACAATTACTCCGATACAATTTGTCGTCCGCGGCCAGACGGCCCTCAATTGGAACCCCAGTCTGCCCCTTAGCCCTATCAAGTGGGGTATTGCGTTCCATTTGAATACGTTTTCGATTAAATTTACGCACTAATGTATGTGAAGAACACACGTACGCGCATTCGTCTGCGTGCTTCTGTTTGATTAATAGCAATAATGAATTATTAATTTAAAACGCCTTTGCAAAGCTAAACAAGTTATGGCATAGTTCGCATCGCTGCATACATAATATTGGCTCGTTAAATTAATCCCAATTAGTCTTTAAATCTCTGTTTTATATTTTATTCTTAATTATCTTCGTTAAACTTAAACACATGTAAGATAGTAAATACAAATGCGATCATATCGTCTTCAAACGACGTCATTTCAATTTATAAATTTTCTTTGTTATTTGGTATTGTTTTCATAGGTTGAATCAAATACATTATTATTATCTACTTGTGTAACCATTTTAGCTATTGTTTATTAAGAGTTACTTCAATCAATATTGTTTAACTGTTTTTTTTTTATTCGTCACTAACTCTTCGTTCCCCTGTCTACAGCAATCACAATCGGCATCAGGGTCATCGGACCAGCTCTCGGTTTCCTGCTGGGCGCTCTATGCACCAGGGTCTACGTGAACCCACTTACGGACCCCGGCTACGACAATACAGACCCGCGATGGGTCGGCGCTTGGTGGCTAGGTGAGTTTTTTTATTTCAATTGACCAGAGATATCGTTAATTGGTAACTATGAGTCTATGATATAATCCCGCTTGTGAAATCTCTGTTACACAATTATTGAGGTCAAATGGGCTTCGTAAAAAGTAAACAGCAAAAGCTCCTTGGATCATAGATATGGGAGCTTATTTTAATTAGATTGCGAGTAGTGTCCCTGTTATCTAAGGGAAACAAATGAAATCGAAAGCAGTATTTCATCGATTTCTTAAAAACGCCTTTCTCGCTTTGAGAGATGTAACGGAGAAAATATACAAAGTTCAGTTCTATTCCTGAATGTTGCGTAACAATTTAAAGTTGTAATTAATATGTGATCTTTTATAATTTCGTTATCGCTAAGCCAAAAATATATGTTTGTACTTATATACACACAAAAAAATAGCTTATTACTTCAATAGCGTAACAAAAATACCTAAAAACTATATTCCCTGCGCCAGTACTCTTCGTTTGTGAAATATACACTAAATGCATTTGCTAACGGATTAAATAAATGGCTTGGAATCATAGGTAAATGTCAAGAAGTTGTTATTGCTTGCCATGGTAATGCCGCGAAGATGGTCGAAGTTGGTTGCATAGCGACATTTTGTTTTTTTGCTGTCGGCGCGCGCGCGCATGGTGAAATTTTTACTCTCTCATAATTTTTCCCAAACGCGCCAAGAGAAGTATAACTACAAAAGGTAAATAACAAAATCGTTAGCAATTGTGGTTAATAGGTGGTCATAATGTCCGTGCCAGTCCATCATCGAACGTTATCAAGAAAAGAGCAAAGGAGTTTTATTTATCCACATAAAGTACTTTTCTGCTTATAGTTATCTTGTTTTCTATCTTTTTTTAATATGTATTAAGTGTATGTTATGTATTGTGTATATATGTTTATAGATATATTTATGTATTTATATTAATATATATATTTACGCATGGTATGTTAAAGAAATATCTCTGTGCACTAAACACATTTTCAGCTACCTTCAATCAAATATTTTTCTCACCAGGTTAGCTGGCAGAGAACTCATGCATTGAGTTAAGCTTACCTTTTGTACATCACTTTTTTTAAACATTTTTTTTGTATCCTGTGTTTTGTGTACAATAAATACATAAATAAATAAATAAATAGGTAGGTGCTCAATTCGTTCAAATGAGGTACAAAGACACTTGCCCAGTATTATAGTTTATGGCGAACGTTAAATTATTTTTTGTTAGTAGCAGCTGTAGGCATGGCGAAAAATATCGATATATATAAAAATATCGATAATTTTCCATACAATTATCGATAATATACGTCGTATAAAAATATCGACGATATACGTCGATATTTTTTATCACGATATATCGATATTCGATATTTATTTCAGACTATCGAATTCGTGTCAATTTCTATATATTTTTTAACGCAACTCTGATTTTGTGTTTAATGTTACTAGATACTTTGAATGCTCCTCGCACATCGTTAACTTTAAAAACTCTTTTCAACTGTTTGCTTCGTGTCTATTCCATTTTACGTATTTTAAATGGTTTGACAATATGTATGCATAATCATGCGAAAAATTACGATAAATCGATATTTTTCGCTCGTTAATTATCGATACTTTTTTAAAATGTCGATACGATATATACGATATATTTTTTCTTGCCCGTCCCTAAGCAGCTGTACTGGCCGTTCTCCATGTTGGTTTATTGAAAACGTTGTGTACAATTTTGTGCTCGTTAAAGTGTGCTTAACGCACAATACCGGGAGGCTATTTTAAGATTGGTTCTTTATACAAAAGTCTATAAATAAATCGACACAGACTTTATACCCGTCGCCGTGTCGAGTCATCGCCTCGTTTCGTTCCTAAAATGTATTCGTCGCTTTGAATTGAATTGGTTTTTCTTTCCCAATTAATTGGCGTCTCAATCTTTTGCCTTTTTAATCTTCGTATTTTTCTATTTCAAGTTTGTTTTGGGTCTGTGTCGATAAATTGTGTATTGCGATATTTAACGCTTCGATCAGAGAGTGTTTTGAAACGAAGGAATACGGTTATGGATATTAAAAAAGTGTATATTGCAAAGCGGAAATTGATAATGACAAATTTGTTTATACTTACCGCTAGGGTATAAATGTTCATTTAGTTAATTTTCTTTGAGTTAGGCTATTCATTTAAGATCTTCTCGTATTGATAATCACATTACACTTGCTTAGAAAGAAGCATCTTTGCAATAAACTCAAAGATAACATGCAAGGTCCATTAAAACTAAGAAGATTTACGCTTGTAAAGTGAAGTTATTGCTCTGCGTTTTACTAATTAACTCGTCATGCTTACATTGTCACATTCACCTCCTCCCATAAAACGCCATGTTTCGCGCGAGTTTATTCAGTATTTACTACGGGAACACCTTAGAGCTTGCTTTTTAAACGCAACAAGCTGAGAATAATACATGTAGACCCGGCAAGTTTACTGACTCTCAGATTTTATGGGTCTTTATGATCGTAAATACGTACATTGCTGCGGTGTGTTCTGTCGCTTTGTTCGTTTTTGAATAGTTCCTTGTTAAATTTTAATAGCGATTGAATTAGAAAATTAATTAATAATACTGACGCAACAACGATGCTGGTCAATAAGCCCATTATTTATTTAGTCTGAACGTCTCGGATATTTAAAAAATAAAAAATAAATAATCGAATCGCGTCAAATTTAAAATTGACTTCCGTCTGGCACAGTTTGCAAACTAATAATACATTAGTGAGTGCACGGTCTTGTACAATATGAATTCCTCGTGTCTAAGTACAGTCATGTACATTATGAATTCCTCTTGTCTACGTACAGTCATGTACACTATGAATTCCTCTTGACTAAGTACAGCCGTTTACAATGATGTTAAGCGGTGCCGCTACCGTTCTGTTGTGTAAGAGCGCCCGCAGCGCTTCAGTTCCACGGCATTCCATCGCGGAGCTGCCATCTACCGTTACGCAGCCATACGTCCCGATGGATTTGCGCGCGAAATTCGCGAAGAAAGCACGCACGTGACCCAAGTGCCAATCGAGTGCGTGCGGTGCGCCCGCGAGGCGAAATTTGCATCTGAACGTTTACAAAAGCACCCCTATTACTTGCGGCGTACGGTGCAAAGTCCCCCGACGCTCGCGTTCAAATGCCCGAAGCGGTGCACCGGCAGGCGTGCCCCGACTGGCAATAAAGAATTCGCAAACACTCATCGAATGGTTTCCGCGTATTTCCTCATTGTTCGACCGCTATAAGCTCATGAATGGAGCTCTGAATCTTAATGAGCACTCCGACGGCCCTCCGTTTATTTGTAAAATTTATTTGTAATAATAACCGAAATAGATCAAGTCCGTGCTCATCATACGTCGTAATCGATTTTATCGCCAACATTCAGTGTCTTCCAGCGCGTTTATTTCAATTTGTAGTTGGATAATTTGCGCATCCGCGCTTTTTATGTCTTATTTGAACGATATTCTTGTGCGCAATACACGCGTAGGTGGAATTGTTGTGCGAACTAGTTTCGAGCATTAATTGCGTTCGCGGTCCACAATCAGTATTTTACTTGTATTAACATTCCCTTCCTTTACTAATCGAAATACGTATTGCGTAACAGATCGATTCAATGCACTCCTATTGGGTGAATAAATCTCGCAACACGTAAATCTGATCGAGACAATTTACCGCAATCGCCGCCAATCCGACGTAGTAGCATTGTAATTAGCCCCCTTAAGTGGTACTGTTCAGTGCACCATTGTTTAACATTAACGACTGACTGCATTCACTTCTGCTTGCTTTAAATGCGCATGTACAACTTCAATGTAATTAAGATTTCCTGATCGACTGTACAATTTAATGTACGATACATTATTTTTAATACGGTTTTGACGACACTTTGTTTTTTTTTTTCGATTTCCAACATACAGAATGTATTAATTTTACCAACAAAGCAAGTAACCTGGTTTTAACTGTACAGCGCGTTGCAATTGTGTATAATGTATTTTTATAAACTTCTTCATTGCTAACATCGTATTTGTAGTGTTATGAACTCTGCTTAAGTTGGATTTGGTCAGTTGTGATTTAATAACGCCACGTGGGTGTTCCTGTATTGTATCATTTCTATGAAGTAGCAATTCTGTTGGTTAGTAATCAAAGCTGTACAAGGCAGCTTTAACACATAGAAGAAGCGTTGCCGGTCTTTGTGTGGTCGACGCTAAGTCCAATCATTGGACTAAACTCAAAAGCGTAGATATATTAAGTTCAAGCATGTCTTTTGTGAGACTCCGAAATTTTGTCGTCGATTTGTTCGATTATGAATTTTGATATAGAAATAGAAGCACTGCTTGGCTCTACCACAGTAAAAGTCTATCTACGATTCGTTAATGTGCATTACGCCCGATGTGATCTGGAAAAAGTCTCTTAGATTACAACAGTAAATTTATAAAGGAGTGCGTGTGGGAATCGAACCTACGACCCCCGACGCCGAAGTCAATACTTTGGCAACGGCGCCACGGAGTCATATTTATCTATACAAGACCAATAAATATCTATTGACTAATAAATATACGTATGACTGTGAGTTGCTTGAAGTCATGTGCGGCCTGACATGTCGACACCAAAAGACAGTTAGTGTGAATGTTTGGCCAGCGAGTGTCACGGCACGTCGATTCCTCGTCAAGTCTAGCTTATGCAAGGTATACGCAGAAAACCAGTGCCGTGGTATTGTCTGCCTGTTATTTCCTGTTCCTTATTTTTGTCATATATTGTGCGCCGGATAAATATTTGCTTCTTTCTTCTGCTTTCTCTCTTTCTCAGCGCTGTAAACCGCACCAGGGCCAATCGGAACGGCGCTCTAGCAACGTTCTCGCTCGGCTTTCGCTTGCCCGCGCGCCGCCCCGCTCCGCGTCGTCACGCCGGCCGTACGCGTGTCGTTTCGTTACACAACGCGTCGCGTTACATCACGCCCCGTCACCGGGCGGCTAAAATGGGCGCTCTATCCGCCGCCGGTCACGGCCAAGGCTGCGCGGCGGCCGCGTCGCGGACAATTGCGCCGGCGTCGCCCGTAATGAGGATTTAGTGGGTGGACGCGCGCGCTCACTTTTACTTTCGGACCGGTTCGCTGGCGACCCCCTCCCCCGCATTCGGATCTATGACGGACGCGGCACGGCAATGGACACGAACTCAAATAGTGGGAGTCCGTTGTCCCAAGAGCGGTCCATGCCGGACGTCGACCGAGGCGGGCTGCCAATGGAAACCTGCTCGATGAAATGGCGACCCATAAACGGACTAGCTAAGCCAGTGCTCGACTAGCTAGTTCCTCAGGTGGACCTACGGCCTGTAGCAGATTATCAGACAGCCATAATAAGTCCTTCATTCGGAACGTAAACAGTTTGTAATCGCTACGCGCTCGCCACCGGTGCGTCTAGCGAACGCCCTTGACTCTATGCCGACCGGACGACCTTGTGTTAGCGCAAATGTTTTCCGCTTGGATCTATCGCGATAAATATTTCGGCGTTCGCGCGGTGCCATAGTCCTCCCTGGTGCCCCATCGCTTTTTTCGCTCCCCACAAACTCCCTAAGCAATAACAAACATAAACTTGGCTTATCAATGAGCTGAATACTATTCGGTCTCCTTATATTTTACGCCTTAAAAACCAAACCTAATTGATTCTTAGAAAAATATTAGTTCTTATAACTCGACACAACAAGACTGTTTCGTTTAGGCGTCATTCCAGAACGTTATTTTTTTTCATTTCATCCGGCCTTATCGTGACTTTCGGAACAGGATGTGTTCTTATCTGTTCCTCCTTATCACTAATGGTCACAACGTTGGCAGCATTCTTAACCTTTTGACTTTGAAAAGACCATCAGGGGAGTGGATAATAGGCTGTTCAACATGCGTCGTGATAATGGCGTATTACACTAAAAAAACTGTAATTAGAAATTCTTAGCACAAGCATTAAGCAACTAAATGGGGCTAAAAAAACTTGAGAAAGTTATTGTTATTTATACCTTAGGTAGGTTATTAAAAAAGTATTTTTGAAACTACCTAATCCTGAACCGTAAGAACAAAGCGGACAAAGTCGCGGGCAAAAAATTACTTAGTAACGATATAATTACATAAATATAATTTAATTAATCCTGGGCATAACAATGAGGGTGGTTCGCGGCTATGTACAGGTACACCCTCCCGACTCGCGCCGGATTTTGCGCGTAATTAGTATATAATAAATGTATATAATGTATATCGTAAGCGATGTTGTGAATAAACAATGACCCGACTGGTTTCAATGTTAGCCTCGCATTTTATTCGATCGTTAGCATTTGTTTTTCGCGGGGCCGATTATATGGGTTTCTTCGCACGTACACGCGGACGCTGTGTGCTGAATTAATTATATTCATTCTTGTCTCTATAATGGGCCCAAGGGAATTTGCTAGGCTATAGCGCCTGTTGCGAATCTCGGCGGCGGCTGGGTCTGCGTGAGAGATGATGGACGATGGCGGTGAGAGAGAGTGCTAAACGGGCAAGTGGATCATATCGTGGCGATTCTATCAGAACGACAGTTGCGTAAAGTAAATGGCTACATATGTCCCACCGCTGGGCAAAATCCTCCCCTGTACACAGGGTATTAGGGCATAGGCCGACAGGCTGCGGATGGGTGGACTTCACATACCTAACATTTTTTTATTATGACGAAAAGTGTGGTTTCTTCACGATGTTTTCTTTCGCCGCTGAGCACATGATGAGTCAGCGCTTAAAGTTGCCGAATTCATTGGTGCCGGCACCGGGGATCGAACTCAGGTTGCTCGAGGATATTGAGTTAAAAGCGAGCGGCCGGACAATGAGGTATCAGGGTAGCTGCGTAGGGCACCACTAAATAGTCGGCCCCGGTGACCATACTCTATGTCTACGTCTTATGAAGCGCAAAAGTATAGGTATAGCACTGGTTTTCTATGAATCCGTCTATCTTGCAACAATAAATTTGTGTTCAGTGATAAACGACTAACGGTTATATGAAGGATTGACTTGATTACTTTCACCACTAGAACGGTTAAGCGTCGGTTGTTGTACTTAGCAGAGATCGGGAACGCAGTTTGTGTTTCTGTTATTCGTTGTGTTGGGGATGAGCTGACGTCAGTAGAGAAGAAAATTGCATTTCGCACAGATAATTAAATGTATCGTAATAGAGCCTAGTTTGAAATTGCACTAAGAACTGGCTGTTCATGAGTCGGTTATTATTTCTTGAACCATTCGATTATAGAAAATATTATGAGCTACAGCTGCTGTATTGAATTGAATATAATATATGTATGGTTAACATTTTAAATTAAACCGACACGCTCAGACGTCTTCTATTTTTTTGTACGTCTATTTCGAATTGTTATTCTCAGTGTGCGTTTTTTCTATTTCCATTTTAATCACATTATAATCTCATCGGTTTGCTTTGGCTTTGGAAATGTTTGATCAATCACAGATACAATTCTGACGACGTTATCAAATATTAGTTGACTACGTCTAGGATCAATGTCTAGACATGTTCTCTTAAGAACTCGAAAGTCCGGTCTATTTTTTTTTATTACTCGACCACCGTCGCGATCGACTTTTAGAACGTCGCCGTTTCGCTTAAGTGCCTGCGGTTGAATGAAACATGAAAAGCGAAATTTTGATGATGACATACTTCACACTGCCCCACATTATTATGTACATTTCAACCGTGCGAAGCTGGGTAGGGTGGCTGTTTATTAAATAAAACTGCGAACGTCTCTTGCGCAGTTTTATGTACGAGTTACGACGCAAGGTGCACATCAAAAGACTGAATTGAAATCGTGGCCGCACGCAACAAGCCGAGCTCCTCACGCGATAGTTCGCAAAACGGTTGGAAGCGATCTTCAATTACTCCGCCGTCGTAAATCCTTACTAATATTATAAAGGCGAAAGTTTGCATGTATGGATGGATGTTTGTTACTCTTTTACGTAAAAACTACTGAATGGATTTTAATGAAACTTTACAATAATATAGCTTATACATCAGAATAAGACAGGCTATAATTTATATACATATTTTTATGTATATCCGGCTTTCTGTCTGAATGTTACGCCTTCAGCCTATTCTACGCAGAAGTAGTCGCGGGCAGCAGCTAGTATGTCTATAGATGGCGCTATTACGCGCCTCGCCTGGGAACTGCGCCGTAAAAACTTTAGTACTACTTCATTATTTCTTCTAGAACCCTCGCTCTGTTGCGTCTATACGAGATGTTCGTATTTAGTTCCGGGTGATAGCTTTTTTTTACCATTGTCTCCGTTTCATATTTATGGCGATCGTCATCGGGCAGTGTGCATCCGGTTTCGAAATCGAAATAATTAATAGCGCTTTTATATGCCATCGTTTGACTGTTCTTTATTCAAATCGGTTGTTCCGGCCAATTGTGTCTGGAGTTCTTTTTCTTTGTATTGATTCCGCGTAGTAGACTATATAATTACATCTCAGCGTATAATATTGGTAGTGTTGCAAAGAGGAAAATGTATTAATTTCTAATGGATAATTGGAAATACTGAATTGACAACATTGGAAATACATTTTCAACCGACTACAAAAAAGGAGGAGGTTCTCAATTCGACTGTATTTTTTTTTATATTTGTCACCTCAGAACTTTCAACTGGGCGAACCGATTCAGATGGTTCTTTCTTTATTAGAAAGCCGGTGCTTCCCACGTGGTTCCATATTAATTTCATTGGTATTGGATCTTGGGCTCCGGAGATACTTCAGGAAACGTCTGAAAATGAATTATAAAATGAATACAGAGAGAGATATTTGAAGAGATATTTGAAGCGAGATTTCGATTTTCGTTAATAAACAAATGTACTTGTTACTGTTCATTGCGAACATTATTTGTAAGTAACACGGATCACAGTTCATATCCGTCATAAGTTAAAGCAATTTCTAGTCGAAAATCTCGGTATTTTTCAAAGTAGCTAATTTAATTTTTGCCGTGATCCTTCTGTTCCAGGTATGGTGTTCATAGCGGGCTTCATAGTCATGCTCTCGGCCCTGATGTTCTTCTTCCCGCGCCAGATAAAGCAGAGCCCGCAACCCCCGCCCCCGAAGAAGAGCAAGGAAAAGAGCGAGCCGTTGTTTAAAGGTGTGGAGAGTTTCAAGCTATTGAGCACTTTTTGGGCGAAAAAAACTCGCATCACCGCACGCTTTCCATGAGATATTTTTAAAAAAGGAACACGCAAAATCTATATTTGTGGTTATGGATATGATATAAATACTGTTATTATCGTTCGGGGTGCCTGTTAAATAATTATGTAGAATTAAATATTGTAACATATACAATTTTAATTTTAATATTGTTGATTTCACTTCTGTCGACAGTCCCCATGAGACTGCCTATGTTTTTTTTTTTTAATTTAAAAGTTATATTTAACACACTTCCAATAGAGATTATAATATGCAATATAGAAAACAGAAAAACGTTAATTAGATCCGTTGAATAGTTGAGTATGCGATTGTACGTTCTCTATCAAGAACGTATAATTGTCCTTTTGAAAGAGGCAGACTCTTTGATCTAGAGGAGTTCAAAGAGGTCCACTCTTTGAAAGAGGCAGTTACTTAGGCGGGAGATTCAGTAGTCGCGTGCTGAATATCGCTAAAGGTTTAACCGCGGCCCGCTTTCAGACTTCTTCGCTACGATCAAGCGGCAGTTGACCAACGACATCCTGATGTGGCGCACGGCCAGCTCGGTGCTCCACCTGATGCCGATCAGCGGCGTCTACAGCTTCCTGCCCAAGTACCTGGAGAAGCAGTTCCGGCTGCCGACTCACGATGCTAACCTTGTCTCCGGTGAGGTACTACGCTTAACACTGATTTGGACGCTACGACTACCCGAACGGCGTAGCGGGTAGTGTACCCGCCTCCTGTGCCAGAGGGTGTGGGTTCGATCCCCACTACTGGAAAAATATTGTGCGATGAACATCGTGTTTTTCCAGTGTCTGGGTGTTTATATATTTATAATATGTATATATTTACGAAAGTGTGTTTAAGTATGTGTATCGGCTATTTAGTACCCATAGTACAGGTGTTGCTTAATTTCGGACTGGAGAACGTTGTGTAAAAAATGGTTCCTAAAGTATTTATATTTATACTGGAAAAATATTGTGCGATCAACATGGTGTTTTTCCAGTGTCTGGGTGTTTACATATTTATAATATGTATGTACTTATAAAAGTATGTTTAAGTGTGTTTATCAGCTATTTAGTACACTTAGTACAAGCGTTGCTTAGTTTGGTTATAGTGAACGTTGTGTAAAAAATGTGTCTTAAAATATTTATATTTATTTATAGATCAAACCTGTATTGTGTCGATGCATTTTGGACCGTATACAATGGTGACCTTAACGCGGTATTCCGTTGATGCCTTATGCCGTTTACGTGTACGTTCCGGTATTCCGGTACATAGAATAGAATATGTTCTGGCTTTAGTCGTTTCTGAATTAAAGTCATTTGTTTTTATTTATCGTTTTATTTGTGAAAACAACAGAACGTTTACAATATGTATTGTACGTTTTTACGTCTTGATTAAACGCAATCATGGCTCTCAACAAATTTTTAAAATATTAGTATTGAATAATAATTCTAAAATATAGATTTATAAGGACAGACAGAAAAATAATTATAACATATGAAATAATCTGAAGAAAGAAAATGAAACTGTACTTATAAAAGAATAAAAACGAGAGTGCGTATTTTATGACGCACTCTATCTGTGTGTGTGGGTATATTTTTATTCTCGAGTTAATTCGACTCGTGAAGATCAAAGGGGATAATATAAACTATTGCGATTACAATAATTACGTCGTTTATAAACGAACTTATTATGCGTGTATCAAGAATGGAGCCTTCGAGAAATTAATATTTGACTCGCCCCGAACCAAATCGAGATCCGCGCATGCTTTAGCAATGCTGACGGTGGTCTCCGATTCCAGGGCTGGGCGGGATCCTCGTGATGGGCCTGGGTATAATCACGTCGGGCGTGGTCATACTGAAACTGGTGCCGACGGCGAGGCAGGTGGCCGCGTGGACGGCTGCCTCCGCAGCGATGTACAGCGCTGGTGAGTTCAGAGTCAGAGGCAAAATCAAAATTGATGTTTTGACTTTGAATTTGACTATATCGATATATAGGCTTATTTTTTTTTAATATTGTCCCTCCTTTACGACAAAATTGTCCTGCTGTGTTGTAAGCACGTTTTACTTTACACACATAAATTTCACGCGGACGAACATCCAGACCCGAAAGAATTATGTGTGAGTCTCACGGTGGTAGGGCCACGCAGCAGCCTCGGCTGTTGCACGAATGAGCAGGCTCGTCCGGGTTAGCACCACGACCTCACAGAAGACCGGCGTAAAGTGGAAGTATATTACTTTCGCGTTTCGTTTGGTGAGTGAGGTGGTCGGAGCCCAATTTTCAAATGTTTGTCGACGCATCTGCAACCCTCGGGTGTAGCGGATGTCCATGGGCGGCGGTATTCACTTAGCATCAGGTGAACCGTCTGCTCGCTTGGTAACTTTTCACATAAAAAAAGAGTCATAATAGTTGAACCTTGGCAACTGCGGCATGGTGTCATCAAAAGCATAACTAGAGCTTTCAAGTATTTATATTGTAGTTAGTCGTACTAGGTGCCCCGTTCAAAATTTTCGCACCGTACCTGATGGTTATGTGATATTGTTTATTTAAGTATTTAAATTCATTCACATTTTGAAGAATAACGTTGTGCATTACCGTATCTTTCATTTATACATATGGTCAGTAGATGAAATTAACATAATATGTTTTTTTTTTTAAATTAAGCGAAAGATTTTCTATTTAAGAAATCCTGTAACCTAATTCTCTATATCTATTTTATCGTCAATATGGACGTTTTACAAACATAAAAATATATAAATTTTACGCGGAAATAAATTAAGCTTGGGCTAACATAATCTTAAAAATGGTGTTTAGATCACTATGTTTGATGAAGAATTATGTAAATTATTGCGTGTTGGCAAAAATATTTGAAAAATAATAAAGGGAATATTTAGATTGGAAAATAATAGACAATTTTCCACTCAGATTCATCATTTGGCACTAAAGCGTTTATATATAAATATTCGTTTATTAATAACAAAATACTAAAAGGCTGAACTGCGTGCAAATGCAGAAATGAGACATAAAATCATTATATGCCTAAGCGCCTTTCGCATTTCAAATACGAGCATTTAAAAAATGGGCTATATAAACCAGTGAGGTGAGATATATTCACTGTTACTTGTACAAGTTGTTAGTTTAGTCTATTCCTCATTCGCAGGCATGGTGCTTCTGATGTTCGTGAGCTGTCCCGAGGAGAGCTTCAGGATGCTGAGCGAGAACGGGGTGACCAGCAACCTGTCTTGCAGCGCCAATTGCCACTGCGAAGGCGCTCCCTACAGCCCAGTATGCGGACAGGTTAGTTCTCGTTAGTTCTCTACTTTGTTAGTGTACCGCGTAGTATACTAAGTAGACTTATATTTTAAAACTTTTTAAACTCCAGTCAAAAGTATAACTAGTTGAATAATTGATAGGGCATATAAATTTTGATTATCTTATTTGTTAACAACTTTTTGAAGTTATACTTCTTTTGGTGCGTTTGGAATAATTATGGGGGTAAAATTTTTATGATGCGCGCTTACCGACCCTCAAACATCCTTCATCATACTTGTTTGCCATGGTAATGTCCTGCGTACTGCCGTGAAGGCTTTACCAATAATTCCCAGTTATTTAAATACACCGTTAACAATTGCATTTAATGTCTATACGCTAAACGCGCGTACATAAGTACACACATACTTTTTTATTTATTTCTGTATCGCAGATTGCAGATTTATAATCTTATTGATATTATTTATATAAGCTTATGTGTGGTCTGTTAATAATATACAGCGTGTCGTTACCATCGCGACAATAAATCAACACACGTCTAACGCTACTTGCCAATAATCATAAAAAATATTAACGTTAAACAAAATCCATAATGTAAAAAAATATTAATCCAACAAACAAATTAAGTAAAAAAGAAACAAAATTTGTAACATCCTATACAACTCGCGCCACAGCGTCGCATTACAAGCCTCTCCTTCTAACAGTATGTTTTGTCTCTTTTAAATTCATTCAACCCATTCTCGTTTTATACGTAAGGGTGTTCTAAAATACTTTGTTTTGGAAAATTTAATAACTCTGTAAATATTGATATTTAAAGAATGTAAATGTTTAAAACAATTTTAAAAAGTTATCCCCTATATGTGTGGTCATTTCATCTCTTGCATATACAGCATGTCTTTACAAGACATGCTGTATATGCAAGAGATTAAAAAAAATAAGAGATATCTTCCTCTTTAGCGTTATCAATATGAAGAATCCTGTCCGAATTGTAAAATCGATTTAAATGATTGTCACTTGTTTATGACGTGCTTAAATTATTGTAGAGTTATGCTGTGTTGAAATGATAATTACATTACATACACTTACGACATGTCATATGCGTGTTGAAATGTGTACTGTCGTGCACGATAGTGTTTCGAGCGTATGCATATTTATGCGTGGTGTGCATGCGTGCGTGCGCGAACGAATGCATGTATATACGTGTGTGCGAGCGTGCGTGCGCGATGTGTGCGTGCGTGCGTACGTTCGTGCGTCCGTTCATGCGTGCATGTGTGCGTGCGTGCGTTGAGGCCTAACCCCGTCGACAGGACTCGTTCACTTACGTGTCGGCGTGCCAAGCGGGCTGCGCCGGCAGCCGCCAGTTGGACAACAGCACGTGGCTCTACTACAACTGTTCCTGCGTGGACGAGCACGAGCGGGGAGAGAAGGCGATCAGCACGTGAGTATTGCTTTTATTAATCCAGAAAGAAAGAAAGAAGAAATAAACAGCTTTAGTCTTAAAAATATTCTACAAAAAAGGTAAAGTACGACTGAGAAGATGAATACATATTTTATTACTTAACATGTATCGTATATTTTTTAACGGTGGTAGGGCCACGCAGCAGCCTCGGCTGTTGCACGAATGGGCAGGCCCGTCCGGGTAAGTACCACGACCTCACAGTAAACCAGCGTAAAGTGGAAGTATGACAAATACTTTCGCGTTTCATCTGGTGAGTGAGGTAGCCGGAGCCCAATTTTCAAAAGGTTGTCAGCGCATCCGTAACCCTCGGGTGTGGCAGATGTCCATGGGCGGCGGTATTCACTTAACATCAGGTGAACCGTCTGCTCGTTTGACAACTTTTCGCATAAAATAAAATAAAAAATAATAAATATATTTAATACTTAATGTTAAGGTTCATTGGGTTTATTAAATAATTTAGACGAGTTATAATGAGTTTTTAGTTTCATTCGTTGATAATAGTGTGTTTGGATCTTTACAGTGCACTAGATAATGATAAAAGACTTTTTTCGTTTGATCATCATTAGTTAAATCAAAATAAATAATTTTCTTTACGTCACAAAAACTCAAAAGTTATGTGTATTGTTGTAAACTAATAAACATTTCAAATAAACAAATAATAATAAGAACTAAAGAACCTATTTGAGCTACAATGTCGGTTAAAAGAGTGCTTTTTTGGTAACCTGGTTTCCTTTACCTTATTATATCATATATGCATGTATATGTAGAGAATGCCATTAGGCATTACTGCCGGTTGTAAGTCCGCTCATTGTAGCAATGAAGTATAAATAAATAAATAAATTTGTAATATTACATATAGTGTTTGACAACTCAAACAGAACTAATCCAGGTGAATGTGAACGTGTTAGTTGTTATATTTGCATTGCACCAAATTAATAAATTGTACGCATTGTAGCCCTTAATTACCGTTACACGTCTAGCACTGTTTCAGCACTAGAACACTAACCGTCGCTATCTTTTGGTTTTTTCGTAATTTTATCAAGCAATGTTTTAAATATGTGTAGACCATTTCCTTTAGACAATTCTCGTATGTTTCGTGTTCGCGTAGCATCGAGCGCTACGAGCTGCTGAACTCTACGCAGCTGCTACAAGGTGGCGGGTTCGCGGTGAGCGGCGAGTGCGGCGGGCCCTGCGCCCAGATCTACGTGTTCGTGGCGATATTCGCCGCGGCGATGTTCGTGCACGCTACGGGCGAGGTGGGCGCGGTGCTGCTCATAATACGCTGCACGGACAAGCACGGTGAGCGAGCCGCGACCCTATTCCGACTGCGCTAAGGTCGCCTTTTGTTCGGTTGTTTTTGATACGCTGTACCGACGAGCACGGCGAGCGAGCCGCGACCCTATTCCGAACGCGCTAAGGTCGTCTTTCGTTCGGTTGTTTCTAATACGTTGTAAAGAAAAGCATGGCGAACGAGCCGCGACCCTACCTATTCCGACGGCGCTAAGTCGCTTTTCGTTTTGGCGGTCCTTTTGGCTTGTTTTGTTTTACGTGGGAACTGGCAAGCAAGCAGCAAATGAGCTACCGCTCATGGGCCCCGGTTACCGTACTGAACGAAAAATCTCGAAATTATAATACTTTCCCTATACGCCGGTTCAGTGCCGGATTAAGCAAGCGCGGGGCCGTAGCAAATTCTTTCAAACAGCCCTTCATCTGCTATGGGTTCTTAAGTTTAAAGTGGTAAAAAAACAATTCAATATTACTATAAGTTTTACTCAAAAAATTAAGGCTCAGGCAGAGATGAGTGGGTTTAAATGCGGGGGCCCCTTTGGCGCGGGGCCCGTAGCAATTGCTACTCTTGCAAATTGGTTAATCCGGCACTGCGCCAGTTAGTTATATTTATGGCCACTCAAAAATGACTCCGCCGGCTACTCAGAAATAACATTACGCCAACATTTTGCCAAAGTCATACTACGTACGTTTAACATTTGAACATTTATCGCATAATTCATTCATATCAATTCAAATAACTGTTCCACGGACCAGCGTCTTCTAGTAAAGCGCAAATGCCAAACTGCCGTCTACCCAGACTCGATCGACAAGGCCGAATGACACGAGCCCTTATTTCCTCAGACAAGGCGATGGCGATGGGCGTGATACAGTTCGCGATCGGCGTGTTCGGCAACGTGCTGACAACGACAGCCTGCGCCACCTCTACCTTGGTAACTTGTCGCACCACCGTCGAACGTATTAGCACGCCTTCTGCTCTACGTGGCTAACTCGTCGCCCGAGCATCGAAAACAATTGGTCCTATTTGATCTCTTCTTATACCTACGTCAACGGCAGTAGTCCGGGGTACCTGGCTAACTTGTCTTAGCTCTCTATCTACGTAACTTAAAGCATGAACATCAAATAACACTTGGTCTTCCTCCACTCTCGTTCTATACGTCAATGGCAGTTAGCGCCTCCTCTACCTGGGTAACTTGTCGCACCAGTTTCGATAATACTCTCACGTCTTTAGCTCTATCTATGTAACTTGTCGCGCCTGTCGATCGTTTGTTTTGTGAAATTTAATAACTCTGTTGAATAAAAATATCGATGTTTAAAGAATGTAAATGCTTAATACAATTTATTGTCGCGGTTGTAACGACACGCTGTGTAGAAACAGACAGCGGGACCACATTGTTTTATACTATGTAGTGACTAGTAATATGAGGTGCATTGTTTGTTCCGACCGCCAGGTCTGTCCGCCGGCCTGATGTTCCTCGCGTTCATAATGGACATGCTGGTGTGGAGCAAGGCGGGCCGCATCGACATGAACCCCGCCGAGCCGGCCGCGCCGGACGCCGCGCCGCTCGCTGCCCGCGCGGCGCCCACCGACACGCAACTCTGACCCCAGCCCACCTACGAGTCGCACGTGTAGAGCGCGCCGCAGGTACGTCCGGCGATAAGGTCCAAATTGGCTTGCGCGCGACGGCGCATACGCCCCTCCGGTTCTACGTGAGTTGCCGCTTAATTGGTGTTGTGTCGGTGCAACATACGGTGCATTTATTAGCGGCAAATTATAATAAGGGAACAGGCCGCGATACGTTTTACGCTGTCGATTATAACTTGAGCGAAATGCGTTTGCGAGTTTCAAGTCGACGCTACAGTCGGGTTTTGTTATTAGCGCAACTCTTTGACCAAACTGACAATTAAACGTCATCTATATATCGACGTAAGAAAAGCTATTTGCCGTAACCCACAAAAGGGTTATGATAATCAAACAAAATGTTAATTCCCTAAACGTTACATGTAATAAAATAAAGGCAACAAATGTTTGAAAACAGGTTGAGGTTTTGCTAATAATCCTATGACTGTTAATTTTAAAGTTATTAAAGAAAGAAAAAATAGTAGATATTAGAATGTGAAAAATTTTGGGGCTCTAGTGAAAATACCGTACTTTGTGCAAAAGCTTATTCCTACTTCGTTATATAGCTTTCAACCTTTTATAGTCTGTCTAGTGACTATTTTATTTAATAATGTATGCAGTTTGACGTTATTTTAAAATTTACCAAAATTATGAATTTGTCTTTGAACAAAGTTTCGAAATGCTTTATATTATTATTACATTTTAATCAAATATATATTATTGTAGTTGGCATTGATAATATAACCCAATATCACAATAGTACCATCACACGTTTAAACAAAAAATAAAATCGAAACTTAATAGTAAATTTTAAACTATAAAAATAAATTCCCTCGTTGTCGAGGGCGTAAATTATACACCTGTTTTCGTTTTAAGTGCAATTTTTGTGTATGTCATAATGTTGAGTGATATTTTATGCTCAATTGTAATGCATAAATAATGGTATCATAATAAGTAACAATGTTTACTATTGCATGTTTTAGTCGTGACCTATTTATGTAATAAATTTTATCCTTGTTATATAAGGAAACCAGTCTTTGATCAGTTTATTTTAAAAAAACGTTGATATTAATGCGAAATATTGATTTGCCTGAAGTATAATGTTCTTATGGCAATATCAGTTTTTTTATAAGTTTATAATAACCTATAATAACAACAAACATAATGTAGCTAAATATAAGAAATGTGCCTAAATATTACATAGTATCACATTATACAGGACTGAGTTTTATTGTAACGCTGGGCTGGCTCGCAATATATTGTTCTAAATATTTTGTTTTCGCTTCAGAGGATGATAGCAGAAGATTTGCATTTAATTATATTAGCCGAATTTTAAGCATTTCTGGCAGCTTTGTATATAATAATTTGCAAGAAATGAATAAATGAATAATTAATGATTTTTCACATCACACGCCAAACCAAAGTTTAAATATCGTGTATTCAATATAATGCCAGCTCAGTTTAACGTTTCGGTTATTGCGAATTACATGGCTAGTGATTAGATGTTTATATTAGCTTAGAATGAGTTTTTTTTTTACATTTAAAATTGTAACTGTAAATATATTAAGATAATGAAACATATAATCACACAATAAATTTATTCTTGGTAGGCATTTTTTTTAGATAATTTTTAAACTGTTGTATTTTATATTTGATAATTATACATTTTTACTCCCTTGGATATTTTTATATTTTTAATTTTAATTACACTTGAGCTATATAAGTCATTTTAATAAGCTTTCTAATGTAATTTTGCATAATTATATATGAATACATATTTTAATGCCAGTACATAATTAAATTTTGTTAATTTTCGACGTCCAAATGACTTTATGGCTCCGGTGTAATATTATTTTTATTTTATATCAAAGGCTGGGTCGTGTGTAAAAGAAAAAAAAATAGAGTTACGATTGGTTTACAATAAATAGGTTAAGATGGTATATTTCAGTGAAAGGCGGTATCAAAATGAATGTTTAATGTAGATCTGTGATGATCATATTATGTAATCTGTGAAAAAAAAAAAGTTCTTTTGCACGACTTTCAATAAGTATGTTAAGAATATTATGTTTTTCTATCATGCAGAATAGCATGTATATTTTCGTGTTTTCAAAATTTTATCTCGATGATGAATAAGAATTTATGGACTCTAGAACTAGTGTCATTGATGACAACCAACATTAAAAGAAACTTAAACGAAAAGTATATTCGTATATACCACTAAAGTATCTTTATTAAGTAAATGTTAATTACTTAATCCTGTATTTCGCTGATGTGCATTAAATTCGTGCAATTTTAGACAAAATATATTACATAATACATTTATATATATATCTATATTAATAAAATATATGTTAAATTTAAAATATTATTATTGAATCTTTTTGACTATTAGTTTGAATGTAATTTGAATAATTTGAAATCATGGAGTGTTCATTGATGTGTAGAATGTATGTCTATAATCGTAACATTATTTACAAATATTTTAAAATTTCGCCTTAATGAATTTTGTCGTTAATGAATTAGCTTAGTTAATTTTATTGAACCGTATATATATTTCTATTTAATCTATGTTCTTGTTCTTACGTATAGTTATGTCTCAATGTTTAGATAAATTTGTTGATTTTTACACTATGTTTTTCAGTATACGTTGAGAATTCGGAAAAACTTATTGCTCTATTCACCATAGCGAACACAATTTTACTAGTCTACGACTTAGTTTTAAATGAATAATACCTCTCGATCTTAGATATATGAATGTATAAGGGTCGAATCAAATCGAAACAGTTGCAAATATCGTTCTCGTTCCTAACTCTCGACGTTATTTTGTGTGGAATATTATCGTAATACTATCCATTAACGATTGGCAAATATTTTTATATGATATTTTATGAGAAATTGGCAAGTGCAGGCGAGGATAGCTTGTACATGATTGATGAAATTTAATCAATTCAGTAGATTAAAATGTTATTAATCCGATTTTAAATTTGTATACAGAATATTGGCTTACACTTTTTTGTTAATTTGAAAATAAGCTAATTAGCGAGAGCGATATTTACCCAACATTTTTTACGAACTCCTGAGGTAGTAATAAAATAATTTTAAAAAGCCAGTTTTTATTGTATTCTAATTATTACGTATACATTTGATGTATAATTGTGTTTTTGCATATCTTACCAAAAAATGCTTGCATGTATGCATTCGACATACAATTTCTTAGAAAATACTGATACGTTCATGGTTTTGTTTATTATTGATATAATAATATTGTTTAATTTCAACAGAACTTTTTGCTCTGGTTATTATACCGGTACTGCTATAATGTCGTATAAGTTTGAATTGTGGGTTCTGTGTAGATTTGTTACAGTGACATTGGTCACATTTTTTTAATTATTTGTAAATAAAAACTTTATTCTAAAGCGTATTTCATTTACCGTTTTCCGGTTCACTCGCAAAACACATATAAGCTCAAAATGCAAATGCATCGATATAAGTTAATTATAAAAGTAAATAATAAACTGTAATAATCAAGCATAAATTTTAAATGAAACTACTTTACGGATTTTATCGCGTTTTTTTTATTTTAATTTAAATTCCCGACGTTTCGAACCCTTTCCAGCGTTCATGGTCACGGGACAGACTAAGTTGTTAGACGTCTTGAATCCGTAAAGTAGTTTCATTTAATATGTATAATATTCGCGTAAAATCAAGAAAACAATACAAGCATAAATTATTAGATAAAACAAGAATCCGATGAACTGAAACAGAATTCCTGCATTAAATTACTGGCTATTTCTCTTTTTTCACGTTATATTGTAGTAGGGCAGCGCAATAACTTCTGTTGTTGCACAATAGGGTAGGCTCGACCAGGAAAGTACTACAGCCTCACTAGGGATGCTGAAAAAATATCGCTATATCGCTATATCGATATATCGATATTTTTAGCCGATACATCGATATAAAGTATTTAATATCGAAATCGTATCAAAAACGAGATTTTCAAATTCGAATCCGGGGCAGAGTCCTTACATTAAATGTTTAATACTTGACATACGTTTTTTTTGGACAACAGGGCCTAGAAAGGAAATATCGATATTTTCTCTTCGATATATCACAGAAATCTGACGAAATGGTTATTTTTAAAGTTTTTTATAGTGCTAATCTCTGCACTTAAGATTAAACATTAAAACTTGTAGAAAAATTGCGGAAAGATTGTCGCCGCTGTGGGAATCTAACCCACGTCTTCGGCCGTGAGTGGGTTCGGATAGTGTGACCCGAAACGTTTCTATCTTCGGTGACCATTGATCGGGCTGAAGACTCAGTTGGCAGAAGTCCAAAAGGTGGTCACCGGTGACTTCCCTCACCGCGGCTGCGGTGTTAGTAAGGCAGAAATGTACGTCTTCGGCATTCGCGGCCTGACGCTTTAGCCATTAAGCGGCTGATTGCTACACCGACGAAAGTCTTAACGTCTTTTATCTACATTGTTTTTTAGCATTTTAACACAATGCTTGGCGCATCTATTGTTATATCCTTTCCAGCATACTTATTGTATGACTCTTAGGTGCTTTAGATGTCCATGGGTTGTGGTATCCACTAAACATCAGGTTAGGAGTGAGGCGTATTTATCGTAACAGGTAAATATGACAGGTCTCGAGATAACACTGTACCTGTTACGAAACAAACTTAAATAACAGTTCCTGTCTCACACAAATTGCTCATTAACAATCTGTCACAAGCTTTATTTTTGTTATGTGAAAATATGCCAAGCGAGCAGTCGGTTCACCTGATGTTATGTGAACACCGCCACCCATGGACATCTGCCACACCCGAGGGTTCCAGATGCGTTGACAACCTTTTAAAAATTGGGCTCCGGCCACCTCACTCACCAGACGAAAAGCTAAAGTATTATACTTCCACTTTACGCCGGTCTTCTGTGCGGTCGTGGTACTTATCCGGCCGAGCCTGCCCATTCGTGCAACTTGGCCCTACCTCCGTAAAAAAGCTTTTCTTTATTCATGCTTACGACTGTTACCTTAGTTAGAAAGAGATAAAAATGTTACAACTTGTCAGTTCATTTTTTTTGTTGTTCCTGAAAACCGTCACATAGTTACAAGCTCTTTCTTTTCTTGCATCGGTTTTATAGCTTTGTTAGAAAGAGACGTACGGACGTTACCATAGAGTACCCTCCTGTAATAGCTGTTGCTATGGTAAGTTACACAAATTGTCACAACATAGTATGAAATATCAGGCTGTTATTTTGTAACAGTTCTTTGGCACTGTTACTTTTAAGGAACAGGAACAGGCCTATGAATATTCACATAAAAAATGAAATGAAATAATATACTGCTAAGAAAGAAACACTTGCACGTTAACACAATTCGTACATTTTCGATTTTGAACTCAATTTACAAACCTTGGTAATAACGTATATACGCCGCCAGAATTAGTAGAATTAGTAGAATTAGTAGAATTTTGCTGGTAGGAACAGCGCGAATTGGCTAGTTATGTACTATTAATTGTTTTTGTTGTTACAAAATAAAGGTTTCTTCATACCTTTTTATTTTTTAACCTATTTTTATGGAACCACCGAGTCTATTTTGGTAGCTTTGGCTTGTTTACCTTTGAAAACTATTTCGCTGTTGCAAGGATATGAGCCTCCGGATTTCGGGATACGTGCCCGATGCTTAAGCCACGGAGTTAAACGGCTTATCTTCGTATCGACGAATATCTCAACGTATTTTATGTATGTACTTTGTTATTTATTACATTTTTAAGCAATGTTTGGTCTCATATAGTGTTTTTATTTTTTTTCGTTTCAGCAAACAACCAATTTTTTATATAAAATTTTACAATGATATAATTGATGACTCGAGATGACAGCATTGCAACTAAAATCTACAAAGGATATTAATTAGGGTTCCGTACTCAAAGGGTAAAACGGGACCCTATTACTAAGACTCCGCTGTCTGTCTGTCCGTCTGTCATGATGTGTTTATGTTGCCGATATAACAATAAATACTAAAAAAACAGTTTAAAAAATATTTAAGTGAATTAGTCCCATAAAACAGTCATGATTTTTTTTGCCGTTTTTATAGATCTAGATTCTACGGAACTATTCACACTTGGGCGTTTTTTTATATTTGTTTTTCCTGCACTTAAGATATATATTGTATATTAAAAATTTCATGTTAAGTGCAGAGCAGCACTATAAAAAATAATATCCATTAAAATGATACGAGGAAATTTTATACGAGTAATGGACGTTCTATTTATGAGTACACTGCCTTAACGCTTCTGCGAAATTGTAAGAGGGAAGTATCGATAGATATTGTTTATTGACCTTGCCAGCTGAGCACAGCGACCAGTGAGCGATAGATTTTAATTCTTTGTATTTGTATAATCTGGTTGCGTAGGGTCTGACTTCCCGAACTCTTTAGAGACCTGCAAATTATACAGGGAAACTGTTTTACACGAGCGAGATATATAGCGGCCGCACTAAAAGACGTAATTATATTGCATATATTGCATACTAACTGTTAACCGCGGCTTCTCCCGCGCTGCCAAAGGGAATTAACAATGAGAATTTTATTTTACAACAGAATATCTTGCAGATGACCGAACCTTTTCCTACTTAGTTTACACTTATCATTACCTATATTTTGGACAATTCACACCAAATCTTTATAAATGATAGCCTATAAGTCATTCTTGTGTATAAGCTATATTATTGTAAAGTTTCATTAAAATCTAGTCAATAGTTTTTGCGTGAAAGAGAACAAACATCCATCCATACATACAAACTTTCGCCTTTATAGTATTAGTAGGGACTTATCATTTGATTTGAAGAGTGCTCTTGGCAAATTAACGAATTTAATCCTAGTTAAATTTCGATTCATTGATTCTCGGTGCGGCTTTAGGACTCTTATAAGAGTAATAAAAATATAATGCTGCCGAGGGAGAATAAGTTACATTACATATTATAGAGCCATGATAGCTCAGTGTCCGGGCGCTCGCCTTTAATTCAATATGCTCGAGCAACCTGAGTTCGATCCCCGGTGCCGGCACCAATGAAGTTTTTAACTTTAAGTGCTGACTTATCACGTGCTGGCGCCGCGTGGTGGACTATGCTCTGTTACCCTCTGTATAGAGGAGGCCTCTGCCCAGCAGTGGGACATGTATAGACTATTACTTTACTTACTCTTATTTTTACATGTTATAACAATTAAAAATAAATTGTTTCCGCAATCAACTGTTTAGAAATGTTGAATGACAGAATCTCATTGTGTTTAAACCAATACGTCGTTAACGAGCTTTCATGTCATGATTATTGATATTTAATTTTTAAAGTTGCACGTAATTCGTTGTTCGTTTTCCGCAAACAAAATATTAGGTAACCTTTGAACATTTGCGACCTTCAGCCCTTCGTTTATTTAATATTTGATTTCCCTTTCATCTACAGTAAAAACGTAATACAGTTGTAAAAAACATTAGCAGTAACTGAAACCATTTATTAGTAACTACTTAGATTACATTTTAATAGATCATTAATGTTATTAATGTAAATATCTCATTAATAATAAACATCTATTTGTACTAAATTAAATTTATACTGTTAGTAAACAAACGTGTTCTATGAAACGAGTGATTAGTTACACTATTCAAAACATATGAACATCGATTTCCTTGTAAGCGTGTTCACATAAAATATTCTTCTTAGTATTCTGAAATAGACTTAATTGTTATTAGCTGGAAAAATGAAACGGTTTAAATGAAAATTCTGTCCGATGGGTTATGTTCATAAGCTGAAGCGGAGGCGTCGGCGGAAGCGGCGGCGGATGCTCTAGCAGATGAGTATCCGACCTTATGTCTCCCTTTTCCATATTGGTCCTCTCTTTCTAAGACCTCAGGACTGATGCTGTAATGTAATACAGGTATTGCAATAAAAAAACTGACAACCGTAAATATGGATTTCTAGAAAACTCGTTTTGAGAAACTTTATTAAGTTTCTATTTTGTTCCAAATAAAAATAAAATATTTCGAGGATATGTGAAGACCATTAATCCGCAGTGGGGCCACGTAGTGGAATTTGCCCTAATACCAGGTTAGTATCAGGACATAATTATATACTTTACTCATAAAACCATTCTCGAATCGAACTGAAGACACGCAAAAAATTTCATTACAATCGGTCCAGCCGTTTAGGAGGAGATCAGTGACATACATACAGCATTTTAAATTATAACGTGCTGTCTGTCCGTCTGTCTTTCGTCTGTCACCAGGCTGTATCTCATGAACCGTGACAGTTGACATTTTCACAGATGATGTATTTCTGTTGCCGCTACAACAAAAACAAAATCAAAATAAAAAAAAATATTTACGTCCCATAAACCAGACATGATTTTTTTACCGTTTTTATAGATAATGCTACGGAACCCCTCGTGGGAGTCCACTCGCACTTCTTATTGATTATAATACATTTTAACAGTGAATTGACGCAACAGTCTACTCTGTTGCACGAATGGGCGAGTCCGGGTAATTACCACGACCTCACAGTAGACGGGCGTAAATTGGCTGTGTTGTATACTTCTGCGTTTCGTCTGGTGAATGAGGTAGCCGGGGACCACTGTAATATAACGTGACAGCGCGTCTGCAACCCTACGGGTGCTGCAAATTTCAATTGGCAGCGGATATCACTTAACATCAGGTGACCCGTCAGTTTGCCACCTTGTCTCATATAAATAAAAAACCACAAGGCAACGATTAGTTGCGCGATGCGATGAAAAGTTAAAAATTCACAAAAAACTCGATAACATAGATTCGCATGTGTGTTAGCAGCGATGTGTTCATTACTTGTATAAACACCAAGCATTACGTATTGAACTTCGAGAACGGATTAAATCGGGTGTTCGTCGAATTGAGGAAAATTTGGAATAAAAATCAATAGAATGTTTAAAAGGCCATCTTTGTCGGCCATCTCGCGGTATATCCAGTGGTATTACAATTCGACGAGTTTTCTTACCGGTCATCAATACTTCGGTCGCATCCACCGCTCTCATCTTCGACACTTACGTCGCCTTCACTACTTTTGTCTGCAAAATTGCCTCTAGTTTCCGAATAGCCGTCAGAGTCCTTCTGTCTCCTATCTTCATAACAGAAAAAAATGTTTTGAATTTTAAAACGTAGTTGCTTTCCAAACTAAAGTCATGAGACATGAAACATAAATTAAAGAAAGTTGAAATTAAGATAACGTCGGCATGAAGTATTCAATTATTTTCCTTGGTGAGATAATTATATGATATAAATTCTTTGTTTTACAAATTTTTGCGGAAAAATATATACTATCCTTACTAGTATTATAAAGGCGAAAGTTTGTATGTATGGATGGATGTTTGTTACTCTTTCACACAAAAACTACTGAATACATACATATTAATGAAACGTTACAGTAATATAGCTTATATACTTTAGAATAATACATAGGCTATAATATATAAAGATGTTATGTGAATTGTATAAAATATAGGTAATGATAAGTGTCAACTAACTAGTGTATAATACAAACTTCATTGTAAATTGCCGCGGCTAACAGCTAGTGACCTATATTCCAATATCAAAGCTACCAAGACCACAATTATAATTATAGTTAGGTCGAATTGGCCCAGTCGGAGATTATCTCCAACCTGGTTCAGTATTAAACATTATCGCGGGAATAGTGCACAACTGTAGGTATTTGACACGATTTAATTTGCCATATTATTTACTAGCTGCTGCCCGCGACTACGTCTGCGTAGGATAGGCTAAATGCGTAACATTTAGACATAAAGACAGATATACATAAAATATGTATATAAATTAGCCTATGTCTTATTCTGATGAATAAGCTATATTACTGTAAAGTTTCATTAAAATCCATTCATTAGTATTTGCGTGAAAGAGTAAGAAACATCCATCCATACATACAAACTTTCGCGTTTATAATATTAGTAAGGATTTACAATTATACAGGGATGCCACGGGATGCTCTGAATACTTACCTCCATCGGCTACGGCGTAGGCAAACAACACTGCGAATAGAGCTATCGTAGTTATTTTCGTCTGCATTTTGACTGAATATGCTCCAGTGCTCCTGCCCTCGACTTTTATAGCGTCACATATTTGTGACAGGATGGAGGCATCACGTCAAATTAACATTTCGGATGCGACACGGTCGCTTGTCATTGTCGCGTTTGCGAAGCGTGGCTTTCGGTGTAATCGATTCGCAGTTTGTTTCGCATGTCCACATGTTTCTTTGTAAATTTTCTACCGACTTCAAAAAAGGAGGTGGTTTTCAATTCGGCTGTACCTTTTACGTTTGGGTTAAGAAACATAAAAAGTACAGCCGAATCCGTGGGTTCGATTCCGATGCGTGACAAGTACTTGTGTGACCCACGGACAATTGCACCGGATCTGGGTGTTTATTCCCAAGGAGGATTGGAAATTCTCAAATGGGACAGTCTTAGTTCTTTTTTTTATGTGAGAAGGTGGCAAGCGAGTTGGTGGTTCACCTGATGTTAAATGATAACCATTGCCCATTGACATTTGCAAAATTCAAAGAGTTGCAGATGCTTTTTGCCTTTTATTGAAGTGGGGCCTGACTATAACACACGCCAGACGAAACGCAGAAGCACCGTATAGTATTATAACACTTCCACCACACGCCGGTCTTCTCTGAGTTCGTGTCACTTACCAGGACGGACGTGCCCATTCGTGCAACGGCGAAGGCTGTAGTGTGGCCCTAACACCGTTACCATTAACAACATGATTGATGTGTTGTGTCGGCCCCGCCCTAGGCGAATAAACGCAAGTGGAAGAAGATGATTCTTCATTGACGTCCTCTTTCTCAATAGCTTAAGATGTTGCCGTGAATCCTTATAATTTAATGATAAAAATAGAAATATATGTAGAGATTAAGGCAATTGCGATCTGTAATCATGTTTTTGCTCTTAAATTCAAAATATATAAATTGCAAATTAACTATTTTAGTTTACTCAGTTATAAAAAAGCAACTTGACGCAAGTAGACAAAAAAAGATACGGTTAGGTACTTTTGAAATATCTTGAAGTAAACCTTTCCATAATGTGTTGTTACAAATGTGGGTAGTTCCGAGTTTATTCAACGTATACATTTGGTACTTTTGGCTACTGGCATTGTGTTTTGATTTACCAGTGACCTTCAATTGGCTGACATCGAGTAGTTGGAGTGGAAAAAACCATCGCGTTAAAATAATTAATCTTGATAATATTTATTTCCTTCTTATATAATAATTGTAATTGAAACAGTAATAGATAACGATTAAGTTTTTTTATGTTAGGATGTGGCAGTTCGCCTGATGTTAATTAGTGATAACTGCCGCCCATGGACATTTGCAAAACAAGATAGTGTTTTTAATATACACGAATCATCTTTGTCTATATTATGAAATAAAAGGGGATTACCCTATTATTTTTTAATGTTTTAAAAACTAAATTACTACTTTCAATAATAAATCTGAAAAAGTTACAGACTATTTGTATGTAATAAAAATTGCTGACAGAAAGTTTGTACGAATAAGGAAAGAAGATGGTAAAATTACGAATTTTGTTCTTTGGTAGAGCTTGGGGCTCTACAATTAGTCAGTTTCGGGGAAGTATCGTGAAGTCGAAATAAGCCGGCGCAAAATAGAGTTTTCGTCTGGTGAGTAAGCTAATTGGAAGCTTCCTTGGGAGCCCTCCTTTAGGCTTCTAGCAGAAAATGGAATAGTGCTCTCGTTAACGTTTTCAATTTCACTTTAATAAAAAGTAAAGAAAAAAAAGTGAGTGTCCTTATGTACGCACATTGATGATACTTCTTTAGAGTACAGACATTAAACGCAATTGATAACGGTCTATTTAAATTTGACGACTCAGTTGCACTGTTGCCAGGGTGTTGGCTTCGGCGTCGGGGGTCGTGGGTTCGGTTCCCACACGGGACAACGATTTGTGCGATCCAGAGATAGTTGTTTCGGATATGGGTGTTGTGTCCTCGTGGAATTTATGTTTGTAAAACGTCCTTACAACAGAATAATGTTATCCTAAAGTAAGGTCAATGTTTCCACTAAAAAAAAAATAAACATAAAATAAATAACTTTGAATTATTGGTATATGTCAAAAAGTTGTTATTGATTACCATGGTAATGCTGTGAAATTGGTTTTGAAGCAAGGGTATTACCAAGCATGGTGAACTTCATCATGTCACTTTTTGAGGGTCGGTGTGGGAGCGCATCGTAAAAATTATACTCTCATTTTTTTTTTTGCCAAAACAAGTATAACTACAATAAGTGTTACTTCTTTATTATTGCAATACAGGGTAAAATTTGTTTGTTTTTTTTTTGATGTATTTATTATTCATTGTAACTACCACACTAATTCTTTATTATTCTTTAACATGTTTGTGCAGATGAGGACTGTACATATTGTTAAAGAAAACATTGGTCTCTTCGATTAGCACTAAAATTTATTTTTTATGAAGAATAATTATATTCCAAGGAGTTTGTATTATCAAAATCGGTTATTTTAACAAGACAGAGAACAAGGCAGCAGAGAGTGAGATGCTGCTATATAAAAAAAACGTGTACTTACGTACGCACGTAAGAAGTATTCTTCTTTAGCGTAACAAGGAGAAAAAAACAAAAAATGATCCTTGTGCCAGTATTCTTTGTTTGTTAAAAAGTCATTAAATTATACATTGGTAACAGTTTAAATAACTTGGAATTATGGGTAAACGTCAAAAAGTTGTAATTGGCTGCCATGGTAATTGTAACTGTGAAGTTAGTCGACGTTGGTCGCTATGCAGCCATATATTTATTATTATGGTTTGCGAACGCATTCCAAAAATTTCATTCTCATATTTTTTTCCAAACGTGCCAAAATAAGTATAACTTCAAAAATAAGTGCAATGTTTGTATTGTTGTTAATGTTACTGCTTTTAGGACCTAAACTCTATGAAAGCGAAATGGTAGCTAACACAATGTATAATTTAAAGAGGCATGTTGTTACCTTCAAGGAAGTTATTAAATAACTTAACCAAAACAGTTTCTAAGGGACTGAGCCTTGAAGTACACCTATCGTATAAGGAACCGAAAGGTTAAGTCTTTTTTATTCGTCATTTTTGCTAATATCGGTTTATTTTAGTTTCGGTTTTTATCTTAGTGGTTTTAATACGGTTGGTGACCAAAAGATTTTCGAAATTCAGTCCAATGCATTAAGCTACTTGCATTTATGACTTATAGCTTAGCAAATGACTATTACGGTAAGATATATCATAAATATTCGTTACATATTGTTAGTATGTGTATTTAGAATATTACGGTTTATTTATTAAATTATATTAGCTGCTAAATATTTATTAGTGTGTATGTCATGTTTATTATTTTAACGCAGAATTTAATATTAATACATTTTATTCAAATCCTTTTAGGCGCTGCCGCATACCGCATTTATACACGACGTTTTAAAGATGTAATGACGGGACGGATTGTTACAAGAAAAAAAACTTTTTTTTCAACGATATATTACATATAAAAATACTTTACATACATATATTTACATATATGGAAAAGAATTATCTATTATCACAACGTGAGCTATGTAATCTTGAACACTGAGAGTAGACTTGGAGCATTTCTTTCAGCGATCTTTGTCGTCGAAAGCCGACTAGCGTCTGTAACAAAAAAAATGAGTCATTACAAATGACAAATGATTACATGATTTTTAAACAGATTTCCGATACAATCTTATTAAAATTTAAACTCAAATATGATGTCACAAAGATAGTTTGATAACTTGAAACTTTGTAGGTCCATTACATTATCTGATTCGTACACAGTACTTGCGGCGGTTTATCTTAGTAATTGACAATAATTCAATCTTTTTCTCGCGAAGAAATACGAGCAATAAAGTATTTAAGCGACATAATATTTTAAATGACTTTAAAATGCGTAAATCACTAATTATTAAATTGATGATACAACAGCACATTTTATAAAGCTAGTGTCAAAATATTGGGGCAATTTGGGAACTTATCACAACTTTAGTATAATAAAAAGTAAAATAACAGCTAATATATTATGTCCCAATGCTGGGCAAAGGCCAAATGTTTAAAAGGAATTTAGTATGCTGTATGTAATATGTATGTATAAAAATCATCGTCAACTTTTACCTGTATAATATAGTGTTTTGTTTGCTTGAAAATTTGAATGAGCAAAATCTGAATGAATAGAAAGCTTACCCGTATCCGCTCTTGTGGCTGCCGTAGCCGCCAGCGCTGGCGCTGGAACTGGCGCTTGCACTGGAATGGGCGCCAGAGCCTCCGTGGCCACCGTGGCCGCCGCCACCGTGACCACCGCTGCCGCCGAATCCACCTGATCCACCTCCATTGCCTCCGCCGAGGCCACCTCCGTTTCCGCCGCCGAATCCACCACTACCTCCATGGCCACCACCTAGGCCACCTCCACTGCCCCCACCTAGGCCACCTCCACTGCCTCCACCGAGGCCACCTCCGTTTCCACCGCCAAATCCACCACTGCCTCCATGGCCGCCACCTAGGCCACCTCCATTGCCTCCGCCGAGGCCACCTCCGTTGCCTCCGCCGAGGCCACCTCCGTTGCCTCCGCCGAGGCCACCTCCGTTTCCACCGCCAAATCCACCACTGCCTCCATGGCCGCCACCTAGGCCACCTCCATTGCCTCCGCCGAGGCCACCTCCATTGCCGCCACCGAATCCACCGCCGCCTCCTTTGCCGCCGCCGAGACCGCCACCACCACCGTGACCACCGCCTAAACCACCGCCGCCGCCGCCGCCGCCGCCACCGCCGCTCCCAAATCCACCACCCCCTCCGAATCCACCGCCTCCTCCGAAGCCGCCGCCACCGCCTCCGCTACTTCCGCCCCCATAACCTTAAAACATTGGAAATTGTTTGAATCTGTTTTCATTTCCATCCTCTTATATTTTCCTCTTTAGCACGCTGTTTCTATTGTAGACAATATACCTACATAATTATTATATTTTGGAAAAATATTTCAATCGATTTATATTTAACAAACACTGTTACATCTAGGCTCTAAACTTAGAACCGTCAAACAAGGGCCAAAACAATAACGTTACTCTTATGAAAGCGTTAAAAAGTATGTAATTTTTTTTAAGAAAAGCTATGAAATTATAGTAGCACTTGCTGTATCTAGCCAGAAGATGAATTATTATTTCCCGTCATACCTGGTGCGGCATGGACGCAAACGAATAGGCCGAACGCCAAAGCCAGCAAAGTAAGTCGAGCCATCTCGTCCAACTGTGCTGAAGGCTGGCGGTGCCACCATTTATATAGGGGCAGGCTTATGTCATGCATTGTGTTTACAGAGCTCCGAGCTTTTTGCGCGCGCTATTTTTTTGCACGGACAGTCCATTAGGCGTCGGGTCCGAACATAATCGACTTAGGATGCGCGGCGTTCGCTCGTTTTTTGACGCCCCGTAACTATCGCCCCTAGTGGACCTGTTATTTTGGGACATAAATCAGTGTATATATCGCTTCGATGTTTTTGCGATAAACAAGCGAGTAACATAAAATGCGGAACGTACGATGATATTAAACCTACAGTATTCTTTACAATGAAATGTAACTGTAAATAGATACTTTGTACGCCAATTATTTTTAATGGTTTGTAGTATATAAATTATGAAAGTGATTGTAACGATTATAAATTATATCTTTTCCACGGTTTTTCCATACTAGGAAGTGATGTTTTGAAAAACGGTTCGCGGAAATTTCAATTTTGTTTTGCATACAGTCGTGTGTATCTGAATAATTAATGATAACTGCAATTGTAAACACAATCTAATGTATTTAATAACCTATCGACAACTCGCAAAGCGTATGTGTTTTCTGATAATAAATAACATTGGACTGCTATAGTGTAGTGATGATGAGGAAAAATATAATTAACTTAGGATGTAAGGTCTTCTTGTGAAGTAGTCACTCGGAGGTATGAATATTACTGTTCAGTATAAAAAAGTTTTCTAATAGATTTCTTAGTTTAGAGTTATTCTATACTTTAAAATCTATAGATGACATTTGTTCGAGAGGTCACTTTATTCTTACTTAGACAAAGTTAAAAAAACCTATTACTATTTTTTTTTATCTGAGGTATATTAATATTTCAAATAACTTTTTGCATACACTTCAATATCCCAATTAGTACGATGCTTATATGTTTCTGGAATGTTTTGGAAACAAGGATTTGGAATGGAGGGACAATTGATAGTGTATTTTTTCAAAATTTCCTACTATCTTCTTCCATGCCTTAAGATTACGCTATAAATATTAATACCACGGCTCTTTTGTAGAAAGAATCAAAATTTATAACTTGAAAGCTCGAGTCGACTGTGTTATAGCCGACGGACTCCATTCATTCGTGACAGTGTAAAAAGCAATTTGGGAGTTCATGACGTTCTTCTGCAAGTCCGTGGTGATTCCCCAGACGAGGATGCCATTGGTGCAACAACCGAGGCTGCTGCGTGGCCCTACCACAATAAAATGTATGTTGCATTATGCATACATTATTGGTTCAAACAATGTATGCATAATACATCAGTATATTTAAAAGTTATATACCACTTTGTAACTCATCCTAAAACTAAAACGAATTGAAATTATCAGATTGCCTTGTTAATTGAAACAATCTGGCAATCTAACGATATTGTATTGATTAATTTGGTTGTTTTATTTGGCTATTACATAACTTAGTTTTAAATGATACGTTAGTTTTAATTGTCTTTAAACACCGTGAAATTAAAATTCATAACTAAGTTTTTGTTATTATGCTATTTTGTATATTCATTGTTTTTTTCGATCTACGTTCGTTCAAAATTTTCAATGTAAAATATTATTTGAGATTGTTGTTTCGGCTTGCAGTTAGTTGCTCACCATGTAGCATTCCAAAAAATTCTAAATAAAAAAATATATCGCATCGTGATCTTATCATGCGCTTAGCTCAGTTAGTTACAAAGTCTAGGTCCTTACTCAGAAACGGGATCGAATCCTATTAGCGCCTAATAAAACCGCTTTATTAGCAGTCGTGCTGCTGGCCCAATAGTATTTCTTTGTTTTCAATCAATTTTCTATAAAAAAACGCTTTTAGATTACGAGTGGTCGTAATTAGAACTGCATGTGAAATCTGTAGATAATTATGTACGCGTCTTTAAATGAATTGCTCCTTTTTGAAAATGCCAACAAACATACCAAGTGGTATAAACAAAATTTGAAAACGTTCAAGCTTGGTTGCCACGAGATGATTTTTAATTTATTAAATTAAATTTATCTTTATTGTATGCTTTCTTCCAATTTTTTTTCAATTTTCTATGTTAACCTGTTTGTATAGAAAAGTGATTTTGATACATATTATTATTTCTGTTCGTTAGGCGTGAAATGTTTCAAACTATATTTTTAAGTTAATGCTTTTATGTCCCAAAAAGGCAAGCGAAACTGAGGCTACTAGCCCGTGGCTTGGATGGTGGCTTACCGCGACCAAAAGTAATCATACAATTTTGATCCCATTCCCGTAACCCATGGGAATCTATTCCTGGGATAAAAGTAGAATGTCTTATTCCAGGCTACAATTTATCCCTGTAGCAAATTTAAGTCAGACCCATTCATCCATAAGAGCCTGATCGAATAACAAACATCCGAATATCTTCAAAAACTTTCACATTTATAATATTAGTGGGATTAGTAGGAAGCACGATAGGATTAGGTGGTAGAAGGATGGGCTAAGGAAACAAAAAGTGACGAGAAAAATTCGTGCAAGAGACGATGTGGTCATTGACGATCGACGATGACGACGATTAATTTGTGTTCTTGTAATCCAACCTGTTATGAATTTTCATAATACTGGTGGCCAATAACTTGTGAATTCGTAACAGTAGTGAGTAGACCGATAATCGTGCATAAATATGGCTAACCAAATGTCTGTTCGATAAGTACTTATATCATGAACATTCGTTACAGATCTTTTTATTTGTCTTTAGAACACTATAGTTTCTTTTAATATAGTCTTTTACTATAGTTAGAACCGTAATAGCTCAGTGTCCGGGCGCCCGCCATTAATTCAATGTACTCCAGCAACCAGAGTTCGATCCCCGGTGACGGCACCAATGAAATTGCTAATTTTAAGTGCTGAATTATCACGTGCTGAGCGGTGAAGGAAAACATCGTGAGGAAACCTGCATATTTTCGAATTAATTAACAAGAACATTTCGAAGATATGTGAAGTCCGCCAATCAGCAATGGGGCCGCGTGATGACCTTGGCCTAGCAGTGGGACATATATAGGTTGACACTTTACTTTACTATAGTTTCAATCATATGTTATTTTTTAGTAAACGGAAAGTAGAGAATTATAATTTTACGTTTAACCAATCTAAATTATGAATCCTTTTAGCTATGTGGTGAAAAAACGGAATAACGACTTTTGCACAAACATGCCTACGCATAAAAAAGTCAAGAGTAAAATTTTTGAATAGTGATAAACTTGATCTATTAATATATAAAATACTAATTAGTATAAAGTACTGGGGATAAAATCATGAGTTATAATTAGATTTTGAATGTCATCCACATTATTTTTAATATTTTTTATGTTAATAAAACATCCAACAGTGGATGAAAGACGTACTCATTGATTTGCTTACAGTTAATCATATTAAATAACAAAACTGTACGGTTACCAACGCTTTACGACCGGATTTTAGAAGTGATCTTTATTGTATATTGGTTTTTTGTCTATGCTTTATTGCTTCATCATCATCATCATCGTCATTTCTGCCTATTTAGGTCTTAAACTAGGCTAGGCCTGTGATAAATATTGGCCTCCCACACAGACTGCCATGAAGGACGATCCTGAGCCATCTGCATCCATCGACTTCCCGCTCAATTGCACAGGTCGTCACTACATTTAGAGGCGGGATATTGTACAACACGATGACCAATACGAGGCTGCCACTCAAGAACCTATTTTCCCCAACGGTTATTGCTCCTTCGAGCTATATGGCCGGGCCATTGCCACCTAGTTACCTTATCTACCTCTGAGCTATGTCGGTTATCTTTGTTCTACTGCAGATGTCTTCATTACGATCTCTATCACGCAGAGAAATGTCTATAGCTCGTTGAGTGACTTTGAATTTTCTCATATGACTATAATGAAGGAAGTCTCAGTTTTGTAGGTAACACTGGCAATACACATTGATTGAAGGCTTTAGTCATCAAACATTGAGGGATATTCGAGAAGATATGCCGAAGTATCGAACGCTGCCTATCCGAGTTGGATTCGCCAACTGACCTCTGCGTTGAAGTTGGACTTATCTATGCGGTATCCTGGCAGAATCGTTGGATTACCTTGGTATAGCACCAACGATGTACTTGGCTAAGCTAGGCTTGATCTTAAGATGAACATGACAAGACGAATATCATGTTTAATGTTACGCCTATACTGTTGGGATCACTGTGCTCGAAGTTGTTGACGAGTGTGTTTACCTACAGTTATTGCTAAATAATAGACAGATAAACATATTCCAGGAATATTTTTACGCAACGCTGTCTAATCTCTTACTAAGCAAAGCTTGTATTACAGAGTAGGTAAGGTAGAGGAGTAACTGATAAATATACTAAAATATATTTTCTTTTTTAAATAAATTTATATTCTAGATATGAAAATAATACAAGTCTAATTTTAATAACGAAAGACAAAACCGACTTTAAATATCTCGCGCTGTATTAGTATCTCCGGTGCCCAATACCAATGAAATTAATATGGGACCACATGGGACCACGAGTTTTCAAATTAAGTTCTGAGGTAACAAACATAAAAAAGTACAGTGGAATTGAGAGCCTCCTCCTGTTTTGAAGTGGGTTAAAATAACAAAAGAAAATCAAGAAAACGAATATTTTTTTTTAAACATTGAAGGAAAACATCGTGAGGAAACCTGCATATTTTCGAATTAATTAACAAGAACATTTCGAAGATATGTGAAGTCCGCCAATCAGCAATGGGGCCGCGTGATGACCTTGGCCTAGCAGTGGGACATATATAGGTTGACACTTTACTTTACTATAGTTTCAATCATTAGCTATGTGGTGAAAAAACGGAATAACGACTTTTGCACAAACATGCCTACGCATAAAAAAGTCAAGAGTAAAATTTTTGAATAGTGATAAACTTGATCTATTAATATATAAAATACTAATTAGTATAAAGTACTGGGGATAAAATCATGAGTTATAATTAGATTTTGAATGTCATCCACATTATTTTTAATATTTTTGATGTTAATAAAACATCCAAGAGTGGATGAAAGACGTACTCATTGATTTGCTTACAGTTAATCATATTAAATAACAAATCTGCACGGTTACCAACGCTTTACGACCGGATTTTAGAAGTGATCTTTATTGTACATTGGTTTTTTGTCTATGCTTTATTGCTTCATCATCATCATCATCGTCATTTCTGCCTATTTAGGTCTTAAACTAGGCTAGGCCTGTGCTAAATATTGGCCTCCCACACAGACTGCCATGAAGGACGATCCTGAGCCATCTGCATCCATTGACTTCCCGCTCAATTGCACAGGTCGTCACTACATTAGAGGCGGGATATTGTACAACACGATGACCAATACGAGGCTGCCACTCAAGAACCTATTTTCCCCAACGCTTATTGCTCCTTCGAGCTATATGGCCGGGCCATTGCCACCTAGTTACCTTATCTACCTCTGAGCTATGTCGGTTATCTTTGTTCTACTGCAGATGTCTTCATTACGATCTCTATCACGCAGAGAAATGTCTATAGCTCGTTGAGTGACTTTGAATTTTCTCATACGACTAGTAATGAAGGAAGTCTCAGTTTTGTAGGTAACACTGGCAATACACATTGTCTATACTGTTGGGATCACTGTGCTCGAAGTTGTTGACGAGTGTGTTTACCTACAGTTATTGCTAAATAATAGACAGATAAACATATTCCAGGAATATTTTTACGCAACGCTATCTAATCTCTTACTAAGCAAAGCTTGTATTACAGAGTAGGTAAGGTAGAGGAGTAACTGATAAATATACTAAAATATATTTTCTTTTTTAAATAAATTTATATTCTAGATATGAAAAGAAATAAAAGAAAATATGAAAAGAATACAAGTCTAATTTTAATAACGAAAGACAAAACCGACTTTAAATATCTCGCGCTGTATTAGTATCTCCGGTGCCCAATACCAATGAAATTAATATGGGACCACATGGGACCACCAGTTTTCAAATTAAGTTCTGAGGTAACAAACATAAAAAAGTACAGTGGAATTGAGAACCTCCTCCTGTTTTGAAGTGGGTTAAAATAACAAAAGAAAATCAAGAAAACGAATATTATTTTTTTTTAAACATAAAATCTCATTTTACATTCATATATTCACATATATGCATAGTATGTATCTATAACACATCTAGACTTCCCAAGTCTTGAACACAGAAATTTGGCTTTGTACATTTCTTTCCCACAATCAATTTAGCGCCCCACGGCCGCCTAGCGTCTGTAACAAAAGTATAAAGATTTTATAAAATTCCTTTAATAATATGACAAATGACTACGTAAAAAACGGCTAATTAAAAAGATGATATGTTTATTAAGCATATCATACGAAACGTCATAGTTTATTACCATAGTTAAAACAATAGTAAGACTTACATCGTATCAACACTGTTATTCTTAAAGTTATAATTATTTTTGCCGTCGAAGTTACCTCGGTTTTTCAGATAACGTTTTCCTGCATATCATAAAGGCGTTTTGCAGTATTAGTCCGCCTAGACCTTCGTCTGTCCCTCACATATGTTCAGGTGTGGACTCGAGCAGGCAATGATGAGGCCAGCATAAAAATATATATTACTTGCACTGGAATAATTTTTTTGCAGACCATGCATATGATACCAGGTATACCTGGTATGATACTGGTACCGCGCTATCACGGGTGCTCGTTTTTAATTCTTGAGTGATATTGCTTGAAAGATATACAAGCAACCTGACTTCGATCCCCGGTGCCATCACATGCTCAGCGGTGAAGGAAAACATCGTGAAAATTTTGAAGATATTTGAATTATATTTCTTACACATTTGGCCCTTATTTTTTTAATAATTTTTTTTCCTGATAGTATTTTTTATATCTAATAAAATCCAAACTAATTGAATTGAATCTCACCCGCTGGAGCTGGCACTGGCGCTGGCACTGGCAACAGCGCTGGAACTGCCGCTCGCACTGGCGCTGGAGCTGGCACTAGAGCTGGCGCCATGGCCGCCACCAGCGCTGGCGCTGGAACTGGAACTGGCGCTTGCACTGCCCCTGGTGCTGAATCTGGCGTACCTATGGCCGCCGTATGATCCACCTTCGTTCTCAAGTTCACCAAAGTCAAGTTCATCACCGTCGTTGTATCCGTCTCCAGCGGCACTTAGTCCGTTGGCGCCGTCTAAACCAACGCCCCCGTTATTGATATCGAGTACGTCACCGTCATATTGACCATCAAGGCCACCCCAACTGCCTAGGCCGAGGTTGCCTCCGTTATCACCAGCTAATCCATCGCCGCCAACTTCGCCACTGTCGAGTCCACCAGCGCCTCCGTGGCCATTGCCAAAACCGCTGCCACCCCCTTCAAAGCCACCGCCTGCGAATCCACCTTTTACGAAGACGCCACCGCCACTCCAGTCACTTCCGCCTCCAAAACCTTAAAACATTTAAAAATTAATGGGAGCCGTTATATTTCGATATCCTTTTTAGCAGAGTTGTATTTATTTAAGGGAATGTGTGAAGATATGCGAATGAAAAAAAAAAAACAAAGATTTCATTAAAAATCTGTTTTTGTTTTCGTTCTAATGGACGCCGTGCGAATGATATAAATATGTAAAACAATCTGAACTCTTGATATACAGTTTCATTGAAATGAACTATAAACCTCTGATAATAACGTCGAAATCACATTGAACGGCGCACTCGCGTTCCCGTCGCGTGCTCGATACTCGCGCATACATACTCACCGCAAACCGCTACGTCTACCTAGTCCCTATACCCGCCACCCCATTAAAGAATTTCGTTGCACGCAATAAGTTCCATAAGAAAACACTTATTTTTAAGTACGTTTTCCAGAACTAAGTAGAAGATTAATTACTATCTTCCGTCATACCTGGAGCGGCATGGATGCAAATGAATAAACCAAAAACAAAAGGAAACAATAGATGTCGAGCCATCGCGTTCAACTGTGCCGAATGTTGCAATCACCACAATTTATATACAGGCGGGCTCATGTGTTGTGTATACAAGCACTCAAAGCTTATTTCGCGCTATTTTTTTCCTTAAACATTTTATCAGGGTGTCGAACATACGAGGGTATTATGACCTGCAACATTACTATAGACTGCAGCGTTAATTTCAAATGTACTTTTAAATGAAGATACTTTATCTGTGGATGATATCTAACGTCACGTAAAACTAATCATGCTACATGAAGTGCATAGATAATACATATATACTGGTATGATGAAGTGTTTACAACATTTCAATCCTTATATTACGAATTGTTATTCAAAGCCGGTGACGCAGAAAAATCAATTCTGTTGGCATACAGTCAGTCGTGTGTATTTGTCAAATTAATGATATCTGTTAGGTATTTAATAAGCTATCAACAAACTGCAAAGAGTTTTTGGTTGTTGATAAAATGACTTTGGTCAACCATTGCCAAGTGATGAAAGTGACGAAATGTGAAAAATATTCAAGTAATTTGGTTTAATTTCACTCGGAGATACGAATTGAAATTAGGGTTAAGAAAGTATTCTAAGAGATTTCTTAGATTGGGCTATTTTTTAAAAACCTGTAGAAGGTAAAGATATATAGCGTTTGTTCGATTTATTACTTTAGCTTTAATAATTTTGCGTCCCTGGTAATACAACGTGAAGCTTTAGACAGAATCTGTTTTCAAAATATTTCTTCTTAAACTTTCGTTTCTTCACAAGATTTATAAGATTTTCCCAATGACTTCTCGTGTGTAATCCAATATTCATGAACTTATATCCATTACTGTTACAATTCATTGTGTGTATTTTTTCACAATTTCCACCAAAATCATCTATAGTATAATACGATATAAATATTAATTACAGGCATAATGCTAATGCTTACTGGAAGCGCTAACTGATTAGAATTAGCCCACATAGGATGAACACTTAGTGACTCAACCTACTCGTTACAACACTACAAAGCATTTGTCTTTGATAGCTGAATACATTTAACTTTTTGGTAACTATCGATTATTTATTTATTTACTTTATTACTTATCGCCTCATCAAAATATGAGGAGTCGGGCTTTTTATACAATTCATAATTAAAAACCCGAATCCTGATATTGAGACCTATCTCAGCCAGACCTTCTAATCTATTCATTTCATTCTACAATCGAAACCATAAAAGCGCGTTTACATTTCAGATAGCCTTACTAATAACAAGCTATCTGATAACTTATGATTATTAAGGCAACTTGTGGATATGTATCTTCTTCGAGGCACTTTTCATTTCTGAAGGTCGTGTCTTACTAGTCTGTTCCTGTTGCTGTCCGTGCGCGAGGGCGGTGGTGTCTACTAGTTTCCGCCAGAAGTATCTGTCTTCAGCACGTCGCAAAGAGGTGGAATATGTATGTGTGATTAAATAAAATGTTTTATTTCACACATAAAATGTATGTTGTAGTATCCGTAAGATACATCGTCAAAATTCGTTATACAAACTAACTTTTTGTTTGTTTTGGATTTTTTCAAAAAAAAAAAAATAAAACTGCAATTTTTTTCTATATCGGGAAAGTGTATTTTTAATTTAGCATAATTCAAATTTATTTCATCAAATCCTTTTAGGCATGACGAAGGTACAAACGCACTACCCAAAATTTTAAATTCTAATATAATCTAAGTCGGAATAATTTTTTTTATTGATAGTAATTACAGACGAAAAGTACAGATTCTAATATATTGTCGAAAATAATGTTGTATTATTTTCAACGGCGTATTAAATACGAAAATACTGTACATAAATATACAAATAGAGACGCAGATTATTTATTATCACATCGAGAGCTATCAAATCGTTAACTCTCGTTTTCTCTTCAGCTACTCGATTTTGCGGCCGATAGTCACCTAGGGTCTGTAACAGAAAAAAAAGATTTTACAAAAGTTGCATTGAAATTATGACTAGGGTTTATATGATTAAAATTATAACTTTTAAAACATGCAAATTATGAATGACACTTCAATTTTAACACTAAGCTCAACTTAACAGAATATCTTTCTTCTGGAAAAAAAGCCTATCCGTAACGCCCTTAAACATTTAACTTTAATACTATGCCCATAAATTATTATATAAAATAGAAAGATTGACATTTGTTTAACACTTGTTAAAATATTTCAAAATTTATAACTATTGAGAGAAGAGTAAAATAATATATTGTGTAAAACTAGTTTGCAAATTATTGAGGTAATCATCAGATTTTGAACTTATTACAACGAAGCTTAAAATGTCTTCAGCTATCCAATAGTTTTGTATGCAGTGTTTTATTTGCACGTGATTATAAAATTGGATGAAATAGTAAAGTACAACCAATCTAAGTTTTTTTTAATGTCAAAAGTTGCCAAGCGAGCAGACGGTTCACCTGATGTTAAGTGAATAACGTCGCCCATGGACATCAGCTACAACCGACGGTTGCAGATACATTGACAATCTTTTGAAAATTGGGCTCCGGCTACCTCACTCACCAGACGAAATGGAAAAGTATTATATTATACTTCCACTTCACGCCGGTGTTCTGTGAGGTCGCGGATGTGGGTGTGACCCGGACGAGCCTGCCCATTTGGGCAACAGCCGAGGCTGCTGCGTGGCCCTACCACAGCCCCACTGCTGGGAAAAAGCCTCTACTGTATAGAGGAGGTCTTGGCCTAGCAATTTCCTTACTTTGTTCTCCTTCACAGCAGAGCACGCGATAAATCAACACTTACTTAGCAATTTCATTGTTGCCGGCATCTGGATTTGAACTCATTCTGCTCGAGTATATTGCATTAAAAGCGTGCGCCCGGACACTGAGCTATCACGGCTTTATATGTAGAACTTAATTAATAGAAGCTCACCCATATCCGTCCTTGTAGCCGTAGCCACCTCCACCGCCACCGCCGCCCCCTTTTCCGCTGCCGCCACCATGACCACCGGACCCGCCGCCGCCGCCCCCTTTTCCGCTGCCGCCATCATGACCACCGGACCCGCCGCCGCTGCCCCCTCTTCCGCTGACGCCACCAAGACCACCGGAGCCGCCGCCTGCGTGTCTGCCGCCCCCGTGTCCGCCACCCGCTACTTCAGCACTGGATCCGCCTTGGCCCCCCTGACCGCCACCCGCACCTTCCCCCTTCCCGCCATCACCTCCTTGGCCGCCGGCGCCCCCAGCACCGCCACCGCCACCGCCACCGCCACGTCCTCAAATCATATAATTTTGTGCTCCGTTTCCTTTCGACATCCTCTTTATCACGTTATCCATTGAACAGGATAGGTACTTTTCGATGGAATAAGCAATGTGGTATACATTAAAAGATGTTAGAGGTAATAACCTCAAATAAGCAGAAAAATATTTTTTTTAACAAAAAGAGAAACGACTTCAAATCTATTAGTACTAAAACTTTAAAATAATACTAAATCTAATATAATAAAATGTTGAAAATCTAACATATATAACCTAAACTCTAGCAAAATTAAACAATATTTGGAGTCGGTGACGTTGTTCACCATGGGTAATGGTTGTACCCCATAACACCTAGTTTTACTTTTATGAGTCCATCAGGAGGTTTTTAACTTCACCTTATATAATCTTCAAATAAAGGATAATTATTTTAAAACGCAATCATGAACATTTTCCAAAAAAAAAAATAGTCATACCTGGTGCAGCATCGATGCAAACAAATAGGCCGAACGCCAAAGCTAGCAAAGTAAGTCGGGCCATCTCGTTCAACTGTCCCGAATGATGGCGCAGCCACCATTTATATAAGGGCAAGCTTAAATGTGTCATCCGTTGTGTTTACATCGCTTTAAGGTTTTGATTTTTTTTTTTGCTTCGATCAGGGTCATTTGTAGAAATCATTGCTTATATTGCATCTTTGTTTTTGTCGATAAACGTGAGATAATGCGAAGAACTTGCGAGAATGTTTCGTTAAACCTGCAATATATATATATCAAAATGTGGCAGTAAGTATATTGTTTTAAACGCTGACGACTTTTGCACCATTTGTTTACCACAGTTAATTTCCACAAATTCGCTCTACTAAGAATTTATATTTTGAACGAAAGCACCAATAAGTCAACAAAAAATGACCACAGTCAAATAATAAATAACAAAATAGCTTCCTGTACCATAAATAATATTACAGAGAAGAAATAAAATAACAGCTTTACATATAGATCTACCAGTATATGTGTAAATTAGTCAATAATTTAAGTTTGGTTCCCGTCCAGATGGACAGACAGCCAATCATTACGCCTTACTTATTACCCTTACTAATATTATAAAGGCGAAAGTTTGTATGTCTGGATGGATGTTTGTTACTCTTTCACGCAAATACTACTGAATGGATATTAATGAAACTGTACAATAACATAGCTTATACATCAGAATAACACATAGGCTATAATTTATATACATATATTACATATATAAATTATAGCAGCTAGTATATATCAGAGTTATAGCAGCTAGTATATACATATATTATATATATAAATTATAGCAGCTAGTGTATATCAGTATATATCAGAGCATCTTATCTACATACAATTTGGAGTAAACTGTTTTTAGAAAATGTGACCTCATAATGGCAAAAAGTGTACGCTCGGAATGCAATACTTTTTCCAAAACAGAGAAAAAGGTGTGTAATTTTTAGAATTAGCCAAATCATCGGTCCCGTTTTTGACGAGAACCACATCCGTAAGCATCAGATCAGCTGGAGGGTATGAACATTTTAAGCGTAGATTAAATAGCTTTACGTCATGACCTGGTGATTTACCTTTGTCATACTCATGATTACAATAATAAGGTAATCCGACGAAATTCTGATTTGACTGTGATTGTGCCCACCTGTGCCGAACGACTCGAGAACTTACTTAAACAGTGCTACACACGTACTGCACGATGTCACCGATGTTCAGTACAGAAACTGATTATTTCTTTGCCAAATCTTTCGGTTGTCTACGCATTGAACTGACCATAAGTAAGTCGTCTGTACACTACTCCGTTCCATAATAACATTTATATAATCAAAGCAGTTTACAAAATAAGTTTGACTGTTTATCAGAATTACCAGTAATACCTACTAATGTAGGCTTACAAGAAGAATCGTTCTAAAGTCTATACTTAGGTAAATAGCATTGACTTTTGTGTTATGACACTTCAATGCCGATAACCTTAAAAATTTGTCCATAGGGTAACCGCGAAGCACCCTGCGACATGTCTACAAATGATTTTGCAGTGCCTAAAAACTACCTGTGAGTAGAGTGTATATAGTCAAGATTATGTGGCATTAATGTTTCCTGCAACAACACGATATGGGCGATATTGCACAGTTCACGGGTTTTTCGCGTATCTTTTCGCCACGCACAACCAAGTGGTTGTTGTTGGTACTTCCGGACCGATCCGACTAAGGGACCGTTGGCAACGCATTTGTCCTCCTCTCCTCTGGTGTTGTGTGTCCATAGGTGGTGGTAAACATTTACCACCAGGTGGCCCGCTCGTTTGCCACCATTTCCATACAAAAACGTACTCAGCCTATCTCTTGATGGACTTACAATTATAACTTACCATCGTCATTTCAGAATACTTCTGTACCGTAGTTTTGTTATTACTTTGAAAATATGCAGGTTTCCTTACTATATTTACTGCTTCAACGCTGAGCATGTGATAATACACATAAAATTGTAATTTCATTCATGCCGGTACCGGTATTTGAACTCAGATTGCTAGATTATATAGAATTAAAAGCGAGCGCCCGGACATTGAGCTATCACGGCTCTACGATGAGATGAGGCAAATTGTCTGAAGTAAAAAAGTAAAGTAACAGCCTAAACGTGTCCCACTGCTGGGTAAAGGCCTCCTCTATACAGAGGGTATCAGGGCATAGTCCACCACGCGGCCCCACTGCGGATTGGCGGACTTCACATATCTTCGAAATATTTTTTTTTGCTTATTATTTCGAAAATATGCAGGTTTCCTCACGATGTTTTCCTTCACCGACGGGCACGGGGATCGAACTCAGGTTGCTCGAGTATATTGAATTAAAGGCGAGCGCCCGGACACTGACCTAGCCCGGACTCTTTCTCGGAGGCAAATTGTCTAGTGAAATGGTTTTCTACTGAATTCGGAAACAAGAACGGCTTAATAAAAGAAAGTTTATATCAATGTTTGAATATTTTCCTTGAAGTTACATAATATACTTTAATACTCACAATAAAATGGAATAATACTTTAGTACTCCGTAGACAGATTAATTTGGTAAAGTAATAATTTGGGCTCCTAGAAGAAGTTAAAGGTTTTCCTCTATTCACTATATCTCAGATGTTCTTAATGGCTTACCTTGTATATTATAATATACAAATTAAATCCTTAAATTTTTGAAACACTCCCAGATGTTGTTCCGCGACATTTTCCTACAATCAGCATTATGTCTTAACAAAAAGCTATGAATATTAAATTCGAAGCGCATTATGCTTTTACTGCCGGGCTCTAAAACTGACTGTATGCGTCTTCTGAATAGAATGAACTCACAGAAAATGACACAGACGTTAGTGACTCGACCCACTCGAGATAATGCGATACAAAGTATTGAGACACCGAGAGAGATCGCATCGACACAAAGCGTGTATTCCTTTACAATTTCCGACACTTCTTGTATTAACTGATGTTTTTGCTTTCAGTCCCGAGACTATTAAAGCTTCATCTGACGCAGAACCGGTGGGCTAGCCAGAACCCACGGGTTTGGGCCCTCCGCTGTGGGTAGGGCCACGCATGTGCTCATGCGTGCGTTTAACTATGGTACGTCATCTAAGGGCCATCGAGGTCGTGGTTCGGACCGAAACCCCGATGGCCGTCGACTGTGCAATTAGCTAATCGGTGGCTGGGGGCGGTGAGAACCGCCCCGGAAGGCGGGTGTACCTTGTGTGTTTCCAACACGAAACAGCATTCGACCACTGCTAGTTTTTGTCAGAATTCAGTCCTTTTTCGTGTAAAAAGCACCGAAATCTACCATTCAAAAGGTTATCTTAGTCTTATCGACGACTTGATGACCCGATTGGCGTGGGGAGTAGTGACCCTGCCTCCTGCACCAGAGGGTGTGGGTTCGATCCCCACTACTGGAAAAATATTGTGTGATGAACATCGTGTTTTTCCAGTGTCTGGGTGTTTATATATGTATAATATGTATTTATTTACAAAAGAAAAGTATGTTTAAGTAAGTTTATCAGTTTTCTAGTGCCCATAGTACAAGCGTTGCTTAGTTTGGGACTAGAGAACGTTGTGTAAAAAATGTGTCCGAAATATTTATTTATTATTTATTTTATCGATCGATGGTGACACGCCAATTAGCCCATCCCGTGAGAGCGCTGTGAATTTATCGATTATACGATCATCTTGCATCAGAGTCGCATCAAAACACGAACAATTAGTCAGGGGGTTTCGAATCCATTACATAAGATTTTTTTATTCTGGAAGATTATGAAACTGTCATGTTTTATTTAAAGTATATTTACATCAATTTGAAAGCTTACTTCGTTCTAGTTTTTGTTAAGTGCTAATAGCACTATCACTTGACCTTCAGATATTAGAGGACCGATAACAGTTGAATTATGTTTGTAGTGGAAGTGGTATTTTTTCTTTAAATGTTTTTTTTTCTGAGAGAAGGTGGCAAGCGAACTGGCGGTTCACCTGATGTTAAGTGATAACCATCGCCCGTGGACATATGTCCATGCTAGATATGTAACACCCGTAGGGTTTCAGATGCGTTGCCACCTTTTAATAAAATGGGCCCCTTCTATCTCACTCACGAAACCCAGAAGTATAACAGTTCCACTTCACGCCGGTCTTCTTTGAGGTGCTGGTATTTTCCCGGACCTGCCAATTCGTGCAAGAGCGAACCGTTGCGTGGCCCTACCACAGTTATTATTGTCACGGATCCTATTTTAATGAAAATGACAAATGCAAAATCAGTATATATTATTATTTATATATATATATATATATATTCTATATTTATATTGATGCTATGTATCTTGCTTATGCGTGATGAATGATAGTATGGTGGCTTTACTTAGCATCCTCATTATCTCTCTTATCCACGCAGGTGGGGTCGGCGAAACATGTGAATCAAGTTGTAAGCGGTTTTAGCTATGTTTTTCACTACCTGACTGACGTGAATTCTCCTTGGGGAACAAACACCCAGACCAGGAACTGTTATCTGTATGTCACACTAATACTTGTGCCGCGTGGGATATGAACCCACGACGCCCGATGCCGAAGCCAATAGCTTAGCAATCGCGCTACCGAGTCATCGGTGACTTTATTAAATAAACATTTTTTGGTTATACAAACAGTCCACGATTAAACATCCGGCAAGTTTTCGCTGTTATGTGAAGACAAGCAAAACTCAATAGCTTTTTTTTTATAATTCCAATCGAGCTTGTGATCAGTATATGTACATTTTACTCGCGGGTTATTCCTTAATCACCTTGATGTTTTTTGTTTCCTTTTATTGCGCTCACACTCACCGAGTAATTCAAGTCGAGTCTTCATCGAAGCTATAAAAAATATACTTGTCCAAAAATAACTTATGACAGACTTATTTAAAGTTAAGGCCGTATCACGATGCTATGTTTATAATTTTAAATTATAATAGGAATGAGTCCTAGAGGTATGATTGTCGGGAATGTAGGCGAAAATCAAAATGTAATTATTTGATATGA